CATCAGGACAAACTACTCTATACATAACATTAGTCCTTTTGAACTAACAATGCAATTCACACATCCATGTGTCCTACACAAAGGTACCCTCTATACGGAGGTATTATTGCAACTTCCACACGTTGCGTAACGGTTGGCCCTCCTCATACGGCACAAATCTAAGTCATAAATTCTGCAACTCTCTTTACTTAATAATACGGGCTTAACTTTGCCACTCATCAAATGGCATCGTACAAGCCATATCAGGCATCTTTAGATATGAGTACTATACATACCTCTATGGTGTCCTCATAAAAGTACTTCAAGTCATGAATACTAATTCAGCGAATATCCTGTTCAAATGGAAGTATTATCCACAGAACACTACTGTAAACAGGACGGTACTTCTTGTATTATCGTACTCCTCCAAAGAATCGTACTCCAAGGATACTCTTATTCATAAAGGCAAAACACTTGACACATCATGCTTTCGTCTGTATAGTAGCACTCCAGGTGATCCATATAGCTCCACTATTAGTACTTTCTTTGAACAATGCTATGCGGACTCCTAGACTCGTCACCATTGAGAATCCACAGAAATCAGTACTTTCTAGACAATAGTTATACTTCAATATTCATGCACTTCACAGAACAGTGTTATTCATATAATGGAAGCCTAAGCTCGGAATCTTTCACATAAACTAGTACATGCACGAAAGTACTTTTTACATAATAGTAATACATGTATAGCTGCGCGCATCATTGGCAATGGAAATACACACCAGTATTTTACAAATAATGGTACTCCAATTGTATCTGTTTTCTTCTGATACCAATACAATAAACGTGTCGGTATTTTTCAGATATGAGTACTACCAACACCTGGGTATGTTCCCTATACAATAACACCTCAGAATATCCCTACTCCTTCCGCAGAAGTGCTCCTCAAATAATGCACTCCAGGTACAAGAGAACTTGTCAGATGATAGTTTCCCAGAACATCCTCACATTTTACATAGTAGTGCATTGAGAATGCTCGGGGACTTCACAGAATGGCACTTTCCATATACTCACGCTTTTTACATTGAATGAACACTGGTATATTGGTGCTCTCCAAATAAATCTGCTCCAGCCGATTTGGAGGGTTCAAATCATTTAGTTGCTCCTACATTACTTGTATTATTCCTCAACCCCCATAAAATGATATCGCTGGTATAGCTGTATACTTCACAACCATGGACACCTGCGATATATTCCAGCGGCTTACACACTTCTTCTTCTTATATAATACTACAACACGTATATCTGCAAACTTCATCCAATGATTTCATTCATATAATAGTATTCTTGAAAGAGACATACAAAATAGAAATAATGTTAGCTTTTGCAGGTTAGTACTATTTAAATCATAGTCCTCCGGGCACAGTAGTACTCATCCCCATGATGCTATTTCTTCCATATCAATACTTTGCACACATGCAGACTATTCATGTGATAGTATTCTGGGAATATCAAGACTTGAAGTTAAAAAGTTATTTTCACACAAGCGTAATCAAAGGATATCTTTACACTTGGAAGAGTGGTGCTGTTAAAGTCATGAAGCATCACGTAATGCACCACTCTTAATATAATAATACTTCTGGGACTGCTACAGTTTCCACACAGTAGTTTTGTGCGTATAATATAAGTCAAAATCCTGGGCTTCGAAATTTTTACCCTCCAGATAGTTGTGCTTCATGCACATCTATAATCTGTGCACCATTGTGTTTCCTAAATGACGCTATTACGCACATATGAGTATACGCACAAATTACTGCTCCAGATTATTCTTACTGCCTACGGCGGTATTCTATTCAGAAAGCAATGCACAACAGATATTCCCACAGCTCAACCATTAGTACATTCATATAACGCTACTACGACAACTTCCGTAATCATCACCCATGAAAATCCATACCCATCCGTTCTATGCACGCAATAGTTCTTCTGGAATATCCATACAGTCGACGGAATATTGCTGTCTAAATGACACTCGTGAATTATCAATATTTCACACACAGGACTACGGTTTAAATCATAGTACTTCTGGCACCATAGTACTTCTGGCACCATAGTACTATGGAAATAATGGTGTTGCCGACATTTCTTAGAGGTTGTACAATCCCGTACTTCATATAATTGGGCCATTAAACATAAATCCAGACCCTTCACATAATGGCACTTCGAAAACAGGCATGCTCATCTAGGGACACCATTCCGTATATAAACGTAATATTCCTCAAATGAGGCAACACTGAACAGGTCCACGTGGTTGATACGATAGTATCCCTCATATAAAACTATTACGGAAACGGCTATACCCTCCATGATGTAACTTTCTGCATATAATAAAACATTATGCCATATGTCTTATCTGCTTGAACATAAATTACTTGACAGTACTATCGTAAGCTTCTGATGCTCCGAATAAGAATATAGCGGGGATATTAGCACTTTTCAGCTATGAGTACGGCCTATATCTATGTATTCTTCACACAATAATACTTCGAGTCATCGATGCCTCGCATAGAACTGTGCAGTTCAAATGAATGTATTATTCAAACAAGAGTATTTTTAACATAACGGTACTCCCTGAAGACGGATACTCTCTAAAGAATAGTACTACAGACATAGTCCCACTAATAAAGCTACATAAAGGCAGAGACGATGCTATCAGTAGCAGAACTTCACTCCTGGAACATCAAAACTCAAGACAAAAAAGTACTCTTAATATCATAATACCCCTGGAGTAACAATACTCTTTAAGTAATAGTATTACAGATGGGCCCTAGGAGCTCCAGAATCCCGCACGTGATGTAATGAAGTCATTAGACTTACATCAAAACACTTGACATCCTGATAATCCAAGGAGAACTTTATTCTTCGGTGTACAGCGCTTCCCACATGACAGTAGTTTTCTTCAATTAACAGTGCACTTCGTACATGAACACACTGGACGCAAAGGTATCCTTCACATAAGAATACTAGTGGACGTTGTGCACTCTTCATACTATAGCTCCCCGCAAATGCTAAAAGGTTACGCTACATATATCCTATGACTTGAACACGTCACTTAATACCACTGTCTCGACTTCGCCACCATACGGGTAGGAGTGTAGAGAGTACGACCGCTATCTCCAGATAGGAGTACTATACATACGTCTGTAGTTCCTTTATATTGTCATTTCGAAGCATAAATACTTATTAAGAAAGGGTGTTATTTAAATTGAAGTATAATCCACATAAAAGTACCCTTAACAGAACGATATTCCTGGCAAACAGGTACTCTTCCATAACATACTATTTTGAATATAATGATATTCACTATCGCAGAGCCCATAACACAAAATGATACTGCTTAGAATGATAACAGTAAAGGTCATGAACATATTTGAGGTACTAGCAGCTTCATATAACAGTACGATGCGGATGTTCGGATTGTAGACCATTCAGAATCCAGATATTTCAATACGGTTTCAGGAAAAGTTGTAGAATATCCATGTACTTCAAATAACAGTACAGCACGTACGTCGCGGCCCTGCCCCACCCTTAGAAATGCACATGAATATTTTGCAAAGAATAATACCCCAGGCAGGCTTGTGCTTTCCATGTAACGAAGCGATAAGCAAGTCAGTACTTTGAACATATGAGTACTACGCACACGTCAGTAGGCTTGCTACAATAACCCTCCAGAAGATCCTTACCCTTGACGCAACTCTGCAATTCCATTAACAGTGTTATCGGAGTGATACTGCTATTTACCTAATAGTACTCTATGAAAATCATCACTTTTAAAGAAATAATACATCAGGGATAAAGATGCCCTTTCACACATCTGTATATTATTCCTGTCTGGTATTGCTACCCCATCCGTATGGTCTTGATATTTACACTTCACATAGGTGACCATCCTCATAAATGGCCGAAGAAGGAAAATATCTTCATAATAATTCCACATACAAAGAAGAAGAAATAGGTAGATCAGAATATTACAGAAGAAGAAATTCTAATAAAGAAGCATGACATACAGTACAAAATATCAACGAGGAGGCATCTACAATGGCTTCTTTACAATGATGTGACCTCAAGAAAAATTTTCACAATAGTCGCGGCAGGAGAACATCTTCAAAAAGACAAAAGAAAAGAACGTCCAGCAGCTAGATGGAAAAGAAAAGATCTTCATAGAAAAAATAAAGAACGAAACAGCATCTTTACCATGTCCCGGAAAAAGCGCATCTTCATAGAAAAAATCACACCCAACAGAATATCTTCAAAATGCCGAGAAGAAGGGTACATCATAATAAGAAAAATGACACACAGAAAAACATCTTCACGAAGCCCAGGCAGGAGGGAGCATCGATATAAAACAAATGACATAGAACAATATATTCAAAATACAGCAAGAAGGGAGGATCATCCGAATGACGCGGAAAACATGTATGTTCATAAAAAAAATGCCTCACAGACAAATTCCTTCGCGGTAACATCCTAAATAGGAAAAGCATCTTTATAGAAGAATCAAACAGGAAAATATCACCGATATGAAGCAGTAAGATGAATCTCCGTAAGAGAAATGGGACAGGACCAGGAACTCTCATAATTGACATGGCAGAAGAGGCCTCATCAAGGCATCCGAAGAGAAAAATATCGTGAGAAAGAAAATGAAATACAAACAGGGATCTTCATAGTGACACGGCGGGGGAAACCAACTCTATAGGAATGACCAGCAGAAGAATATATTAAAAGTACTACGGGGTAAAATGAATCTTGGGAAGAAACATACCCCACAAGGAAGATACCTCACGATGACGCCACATAAAAAAAGAAAACTGCATAAAAATGGAACAGGAAATATCATCCTGGAAAAGGGGCCACACGCAGAAACATCTTCATATTAACACGACAGGAAGGATATAGCTATGCGAAAATGTATCACAAGGAAGCATTGTTATAACCTTCCAGATATAAGCATCCTTAAAAAGATGCCACACAGAGAAAAGGCATCCATGCCGCGGAACAACAGTACACATCACAGTGACCTGACACACAGATTGCGCAATGACTCCCACAAGGAGCATCATAGAGATACAGGAGAAAAAAGCATCATCATGAAAAAACGACACAAAAAAAATCGTGATAGAAATGCAGCAGATAAACGCATTTTCATAAAAATGCCAGGGGAAGTGGTATCTTCATAAGGATGGTGCAAAAAATGTGATCATAAACAAACCCTCCAAGAAGATTTCGTCAAAGAAATGCTGCAGAGAGGTGTATCCTCATGAGAAAAGTAAATAGAGAAATATATATAATGAAGCAAAACGAAATAGGGCGCGTGCGACAGATATATAAGACATGAGAGGACCTTGCCGAGATTTGATCCAGATGGAAGAATATTGGAAAGGTTAAGCCACATCAGGTTACAACCGGGGAAAATTACACCACATGGGATGTCTTGCACAAAGAATTAAGCCACATGGAAGTGCGTTCGCGAAAATTAGGTCACATTAAACCACGTTTGCGAAATTACCTAACTCGAAGCCACGCTTGTAACATTGGGGCACAGGAGGACGCCTATATAGGTGAGAGGCGCCATGGAAAAATACTCTCATAAGAATGCAGAAACATGATAAAACATACACAGGAAGAATGCAAAATCCGGGGGGATACTGGTGAAAATATCGAAACATCAAAAAAGACACTCACAAAAAGGTTGGGCCATGAGGACACATTCACAAAAATAAACTATAAAATAACCGACATAAACACGGAGGCCTCCAATTTCACGCTGTACCCATTTGATCTGCTTATTTGCATTCCACTGCACTCATTGGAGTCTCCACAAAAAGGGATGAATACATTTAAGCGCCATAGCTGCCTCTCAGTTGTATCTATCATACAATTAAAGTTCAATATGAGATTAGAACTCATATTATGCCAGTTCAAATTCAACAATCGATTACTCTCTTTATATATGCATAGATAAAGCACATTATGAAGAATTGTGTAATTTTAGGGGGCACATCTTTATGCCAAATGAAAATTCCTCTAATCTGAATCTGCATATAATGCTAACTATGTTTCCTTTCCGCGTAAGAATTTGTACCATCCGTACCATTCTCTTTCCTTCTCGTTGTGTTGTTGGGTAGCCCCCTATTGTATGACTCCAGATGAAAATCATAATACACCTGGCTAATACCTCTTATTTCTATGATAGATGGACTGATCTCATAGATAAAAGGAAGTAATATACATCTATGTATATCCATGGGTATATATATGTTTCATGGTAAGGTATAAAGAGGTTTGGAGTGAATAGCCAGTTATCAATGAATGATAGCAATGTATAGAGGCATGTAAATTGTCTGTATCTTTGCCGCTAACATCCTTCGTATGCCTCTCGGAATCGATGCATACTCAGTTCATATCCATAATGTAGATTCGCTTAACACCTCGAAATCAGGAATGCCCTATCTTCCTTTGTTAGTTTCCTATAATTCATGATATGCAGAATGGAAAAGTCGGTTATACTGATACATATGTTTTATTCTCAGTTTATCCTCATGATTCAATACTGGAATTGTTTCTTAATCTCTAGTATTTATTTGCTGTTATAAATTATAAGCTCCCCCAAAATTCCTTCACTGTTTTTGTCCCCTCCTGTATTATATGTATCTGCGGGTAATCACAATCAATTGGTGCGTCATTATGCTCGTTATTACCTATCCATCTCAGTTTCCTCCTGATTCACATACATCGATTTTGCTGTAGGCCCGGTTGTTCTACATAGAAACGTAATACTGGTATTTTCCTGTACCTTACTGTGCAAAATTTTGCCCATAATAGGTAATCCTCTCGACGAAATTAATCAAGCCGCGTTAGCATATTCCCAGTAATGAACGGCTCGTGTAACCGATCAAGAGGAATCCTTAAATATAATTATTGCAATATTCTGTCTTCTCATCATCCTATTGTACGCCGAAGAAGGGTTAACTCTTATTATTCACACTTATACTTAATTCGATTCTGTTAATCCTTTTATTCAGAATTAACGTCCCTCATAATTAATATTAAATTCATGTAGCAAAAGATTCAACGATTGCATTAGGATTGGCATGGGATCAACACCTCATTTTAAAACTCAATACTCAGGGGGGTATGGTTCTCTCAGAAGATATCAGATTAAGACGAGTGAGTCCCCCATCATAATAAGAGATAACTACTCATTTCCTGAGTAAATTATTAATTGAATAATTAACAGAAATATCTTCCACAGTTCGTTTCTGACTTGAGAGAATCATGTATTCTGGAAAAACATGGCATCTTACTTGTGTTTCCACTCCGCCATCATAGTTTCACGCCGCAATGAATACACATTAATGAAGGATGTGGCTAATATTGCAAAATGTATCAAAAAGAGGATAAAAAAGAAAAAACCGTAATAATTCCTCCGATGCCTCACTCGTCGAAACCACCTATTGAGATATATATGCTAGATATTTATACGTAAATCTTACATATATCAGCCGCCCCACTGCAAAGAAAGCACGCTAAGCACATTTTTCAAATGATTCATTCTAATTGTGACATATTGCTATCAAGAGTTTTCGGCAAATATTTATTCATTTTGCACGATTGCCAGACGAATCATCACTTATCGTAACGAACTTTGCTTTGTACATTGTCTACTTTACCAATTTCTACTTTGTACTTGGATGTTCACAATGACCAAAGGACCCTCTCCCCCAAAGGAAGGGAGCAGTACAAACTACATTTCAGAAAATATAAAGATAACAGAGAATTCATATTACATATGGCTAGCGAATGAGATTCTTTATGGTACACCTAATTCTTGTTTTAACAGTCTGGAAAGATCATGCGCCACAATCGCGTATCACACAACAGCAGAATCTAGCTTATATTCGATGCAAATCCCAAAACTATCCAGTCTCCGTATATTGGACAATACGACTAGGAACCTAGCCATAAGGAGTATTATCGACAACTTCTCGTGTGTACTATACTTCGTATGTCCATTCTGCAACATAGCTAATATCAACGGAATTGAGAAATACATTCACTGATAGAATTAAATATGCACTTCCGACTTTATTCATATATCCCCTCAGATATATGCGACTCCAAGATGAATACGAATGACATGTTCTTTACAATAATCGGAACAGTACTCAAGAGGCACAGTGCTTCCAAATACTATACACAGAAATATGTCATTATAGGCGGAGAGATAATGGATGCCCTGGACAAGTATTATACAACATCTGCAGAAAGAATAAACGAATAGACGTCTGAATAACTCATCGAGAAACTGATTGATGTTTTATGAGTCAACGACCATTTCGATGCCTACTCACCTTTATTCAGCTATTATCATGAATTGCGTATATGAAATGGAGAAAATTTCATGTCGCCGCAATTCTCTTCAAAATAGGGATTCTCCGGACAAGAAGCCCATGCAATAGTATTTATTGTCCATTCTATGGTTTATAGAAATACGATAATTCGGAATGAAATATTCATTCAGACTAAAATAATTATAAAAAAGTCGGTAGATAACTAAAATTTCACTATGGATCCAGGCTCCACACGTCCCATTAATAGAGTCCAACTGGAAATATAACAATTTCAGAGATACGTATATGGAAAAGATACCTAATGACTGTCCACATTCATGAGCAATTTAAATTCAAATCACTCATCAGAAATAATAATAAATCTTCCAAAGGTTATTCCAATGACACATGATCCTACTGCATATAGAATGCGACAAGCTTGAGAACGGATCATTATATTCCATAAAGGAAGCCTAGGTTACTTCTTCGGTCCCACAGTACGGTTCGGTTAGCCTCTGTAAATACATTACACAGGAAAGGCTATGGCAACAATACCATAGAGAGTTCTTCTCTTTCATTGTGCCATATACTTCTCATTATTCATACTATTGTTACGATCTTCCCAGGGAAATTCCGCTTCTTACACGATCACTATTGCCTGTACGAAGTGCTACACGTTTTCTTCATATGTACACACTCTCAACCCTCTATAATTTAAGAAAAGCGAAAAAAGCGTCATAAGGCTTAATAGTTCCTGTTAATAGTTACCTCAAGTACATGTACCAGATATAGCGTTGAAGCTCTTAAATATGGTTCGTAATCAATTCATGTATTCGCTACATAGTTATGAAGTCCATTTTCTACTGATCTATATCTTTTTATGATATATCATTATCAAAGAATTGAAAATTATTATTTTTTTTATAAATATGCTATTCCCATTAAAAACTTCCTTACGAAATCTATTAATTTATACTCATATTTACATGTGATAATCAGTGTAGGAAGGGATAGACTTCATCCTCATTCCGCATATGTTTCTCTATTTTCCTCAATTGGAGTGGGACTACAATTTCACACTAGGGGTAAAAGCGTTTCATTTTAGCAGAATTATGTGAGCACCTTCATACTTCTTCAAATTAGACATGTATCATCTTTCACTTTCCAAAGAGAAACACGACATCCAAACTAATTCTAATTACAGTACATTGGGTGAACTAGAATCTATTGCATAATTTCATATAACTAAAGTAAATCTGTTTGATTACTTTCTTGCAATTATTCCGACTTTATTCTGGGAACAACTCTTTTATACTATGACTGAGCAGAAGTAGCTAGATACCTAGAAGGTTTCCTATTCTGCTGTTGTCTTAAGTTTACATAAGGGAAATCTAAATAGAGTTTTTATACCGTAAACTAGGAGAAAATTCCCAAATAATTTGAAACTCTTTCTCATTCTGATCTCTACTTCTCTCAAAAGAGAATCCTGTAAATTCTTCCTGATCTTTATGGCATAATTCTTTGATTAATCCTCAAGTATATCCTAGAGACGTTATTCATCCTCCGTCGCGCCTGATAGAAAACAGAAAATAAGATTGTAATTTAATTCTAACGGCAGTGACACCAACGCATAGAGAAATTTCAAATTCTATTGTTAGTTATTACACTAAGTCCAAACATGGGCGTCCACAATTATGTTGATTAATATGTCTTATACAAGGGCGTGTTTAAATGAAATTCATATTTTTAAAGGGTTGATATGGGATATTATCATAGCATATTATTCATACCTTTCTTCATACGGTGCACTTGCCAGAGTAGGACTTATCTTTAAGTCGCTACCAGAAATTTCCACTTCATTGCATGAGGATTGCTACAGAATTATCCGTGGAAAATATAATAAAATGATAGAGTGCTCAAATAAGAAGGCATTTTAAAAGGAAGAGTTCGCATATCTGGTCAAGGATTGTATTCTCCTGCGTTAGGTTCATAAATGGCTTCTAGGCGTTATATAAAGATTAAGAGGATTATTCCAAAATTACGGAAAATTCGTATGGTTATGTGTCTTTACTATTCAGTAACAGGGCGTATATAAAAACACACTCACAAAAATGATGCGACATGAACACACATACACCAAAAAGATGAAGAATCAAAACGAATATACCAGGAGGATGCTATATGAAAAATCATACAGACTGAGGATGCAACATCAGGATATATACGCATACGGAAGTCCAGACATGAAAATAAAGAATCGTAAAAATCCAAAAACATGACAAAACGCTCTCATACGGATGTACAAACATGGAAACATTCTCATAAAAATGTAGAGATATACAGGGCGCCCAGACAGAGACAATACAACATGGGCATACATAGTCATAAGTAAGAAGGATGATGGAGACGCATACACAAGAAGGATGCAACATGCGGAAGGATACTGGTGTAAATGTCGAAACATGAGAAAACACACTCACAAAAATGATGGGACATAAGAACACATTCACCAAAATAGGGTAACGTAAAGAGAGATATATAAACAATTAAGCACCAGACACCAGCATTTCACGGTTCTCCAAAAGCATCTGCATATCTGTATTCCATTACACTCATAGGAATTTCCACAAAAGGGCATGAACAGACTTAAACAAAGTAGCAGCCGTTTCAATCGTATGCAGCATGCAGTTGAAGTCAAAACTTCATATAAAACTTTCATTATAACAGCAGTTCAAATTTGATAATATATTACTCCTTTTATATATGTATGGATAAGGAACATCATGAACAATGATGCAGTTTTAAAACGTACATTTTTATGCCAAAGGAATAATCTTCTCATTTGAATCTGGATATAATGGTAATTATGTTTTCCCTCAGGTTAAAAATGTGTACGACTGGTACTATTCTGTCCTCTTCTTGTTGCCTTTTCGGGTAGGCGTCTCTTGTATGACGCCCCATTAGCTTCATAATTCACCAGGTTAACTCCTCTTATTTCCATGACAGATGAACTAATCCTATATATGAAAGAAGGAAAAAAAAGAACAAGAGGACAGTATTCCTCCGACCACCTGTGTAAACTGGACATAATAACTTCTCCCTGATGGGCGAGAGACACTGGTGCAAAAATTTGTAGTTATGGGGTGGTACTCATTGAACATTGGGAAGGTTCAAAGGGGAGTGATAATGGCGTTAATTAAAATGCGTCTTTCTGCGGAAGAGCAAAAATAAACGCCACGTGATATGGGATCCCAAAATGGTGTGAAAAAAGGAAAAATAGAAAAAAAAGCAACTCAACAAAGTTTTAATTGTAAAAATAATCATCACATTAAAAAATTAAAAAGGAAGTTAAGTTTGGTGAGTTGGCAATGTTGGAATGCTTTTACGATGGGTGCCCACTGACGAATGGGGAGTACCCACTGACGAATGGCCCAGACTGCGCCACGCAGACTGCCCTCGTGCTGCTTCGCCAAGCCTCACTCGAGCTTCTGCTTCGACAGCATCCCCCTGTTCAGCTGCCTCTTAGCGTAGAACTTAATAACTTCGTCAATGATAATGACGGGGAAGGACCAGATGAAGACGAGGAACCAATCGTATGGCGTCAGCGCGACGACGCCGAAAATTTTAGCAAGGGGGGGAATGTACAAAATCATGAAGTGGAGGAGCAGAGACCCGATAGTAGCCAGCACTAGGTACATGTTTCTCCAGGGGGGGATCCGAAACAGAGAGTTGTACTCGCTGAGCGCGTTGAGGGCGTTAAACATCTCGATGACGACGAGGACTGAGAGGGAGAGGGTGCTTGCCTGAAGTGGGGGAGAGGTGGTTAGGGGGATGATTCATAGGGTAATTCATAGGGTGATTCGCGGGGCCATTCGCAGGTTGAAGGGGACAACGGCGTGAACGCAGCTAATCTGGCAAAACGCCGCTAATGACGAGGCCTACCTTGACCTTCCCCGTGGAGAAGTACGAACAGGGGTCCTCCGACATGCCGTAGACCCTCCTGACGCGGAAGTCGCCCCAGGCCTTGCACTGGTTGTAGTGAGACAGCTGGTAAAAGTTGACTAGTGTATGGCCGTCCGAGTCCGGGTAAAAGAGGTACCAGTAGACGAAGATGGAGACTGTAGCGACTCCCACGTAGGTTCCTATGACGATGTACCTGAGGAGAGTCAGGCCGTTTATCAAATTGTCGTTTTTGTGTCTGGGCTTGCACTTCATGACGTCGTGTTCGGGCGGGTTGAAGCCTGAGGAGGAAGGGGAGGCGAAAAGAGCGAGTGAGGAGGGCGGCGTGAGAAGGGCGGCGTCAGTAAGGCAAGGTAACGCGGCGTGAATATGGCAACGTGAGCAGGGGAAGATGTACATGGATGAGTAAACGAAAAATGATGATCGCGCAGGCAGGTGAAGATGGACAAAATGGTGAGCGTCACACCCGGCCTTCTGGCGCCGCGCGAGGACTCACCCAGAGCCGTGGCGGGCAACCCGTCGGTGACCAAGTTGACCCAGAGGAGCTGCACTGGTGCGAGGCTGTCAGGGATGCCCAGCAGGGCGGTGATGAAAATGGAAGCCACTTCCCCAATGTTGCTGCTGATGAGATAGCGGATAAAGGCCTTCATATTGTTGTAGATGCATCTTCCCTCCTTGATAGCCTCCACAATAGTGTTAAAATTATCGTCAGCCAGGACAATATCGGATGCTTCTTTCGCTACCTCCGTCCCGTTTATTCCCATGGAGATACCTATATCTGCAGACTTCAACGCAGGAGCGTCGTTGACCCCATCCCCCGTCATGGCGACTGTTTCTCCAAGATCCTTTAATATTTTGACAATCTGCTTCTTATGCTTTGGCTCCGTTCTACAGAAAACGATACGCTGCTTATTTTTTAAGATTTCCTGCTGTATATGTAGTGGGAGATCTTCAAACTCTCTTCCACTATAGCAGCACTTTAATTTCTTGCTTCCGATGTTGCCTCCCTTTTTCCACTTGGTGTGTTCATCCATGTCGTCATCCGTGTCCTCGTTACGAAGAATGTTAATCTCCTTGGCGATGGCTTTGGCTGTATCCATGTTATCGCCTGTAATCATAAAGACCCTAATTCCGGCCAAATGGCACAGGTTAATGGCTCTTCCAACATATTTCCTTGGGGGATCAATTATACCCAATCCTCCGAGGTAAATCATGTCTTTCTCCAGTTTGAAGTAGCTTTCTGCGTTGGTAACATTTAAATCGGTCCTCTTCATCTTTCTGTAGGCGAAGCTTAACGTGCGTAAGGCTCTCTTTCCCATGCCTTTGACTCGACTACAGATAAGACTTCTCAGTTCTTCTGTGAGTGGCTTTATTTCATTCTTAATGAGGTAGTAGTTACAATTTTTTATTATATTTTCTGGTGCTCCTTTGCAGTAAAGAATGGGATCTTTCTTCTTATTTTCGACGATTACACTCATTAGTTTCCTTTCTCTGGTGAATTCGATTATTTTGATTAGTTGACATTCACTTCTCCACGCGGATATGCAATCACTTGGGTAGGTTCTACTCTCGTCCGCGGTGTAAGCTTCTCCGTTCGATCCGCCCACGTAGCTGCCGCGATCGTAGCTTCCGCGGTGGTAGGAAGAGTTGCTTCTCATTTGTCTTCCTTCTTCTTCCCTGTTCTGACTTCTCCCTTTGCCAGAATCCCTTTCGTACTCGGCCGCCATGCCATTATTTTTCACTGAGCTGGGCCAGATGTCGAAGTTGTGCACAAAATGGAGGAGAGCCAGCTCGGTGCTGTCTCCAAACACCTTCACGATTTCGTTCCTGTCATTACAGAAGATGTTGGCTTCGTTGCAGTTCACCATGCACATGTAAAAGTTGTAGTCATATTCGGAGTAGGCGTATTTTTTAATTTTGTCTTCCAGGATTTTGCTGCCCCTGCTAATGATGGTGTTAACGTTTGTGTGCATCTCCTTTAGTGACTTGTCCGTTTCGACGTCCGATGGATACTCCTCATAGTTGTATCTGTCGCTTTGTCCTCCATAGTTGTTTTTTCCATCGTAGGAGAGGTTCGTGCTGGAGTGTACTGTAGTACCCCTGGAAGTGACGGTGCCAGACTGGTCGTAGCCCGCCTGTCCCGGCGTCTGACTGGATATTCGCCCTTCCCTCTTCAGGTTGTTGAAGAAGGAGTCATTGTCGTGCCCGTCTTCCTCTACGCATGACTCGTAAAAGAAGAAGGTCTCTCCTTTTTGGCAGAGCTGGTACTCTTTCAAAAGGGTTGGCTCTCTAAACAAATGGAACACCGTTGCTGTCATCTGGTTAGTCGTCAATGTTCCTGTTTTATCCGAACAGATAACAGTGGTGCACCCAAGCGTTTCAACACTCTGTAGTTTTCGCACAATGGCATTCTTCTTCACCATCCTTCTTGTACCTAAAGCTAGGCAAGTGGTAATAACAGCAGGGAGACCCTCCGGGATAGCAGCCACGGCCAGCGCCACACTGATTTTGAAATAGTACAAACATCCGTAGAGAAAGGACCCATGGATTGGGTCTGAAAAATGTTTAAAATTTATGACCCACACAGTGACACATATGACGAAGATTATTTTGGATAGTTGTCTTCCAAAGGAATCGATTTTAATTTGCAATGGAGTGTCTGTATCTTCATTGGTGGATTCCATGACAGCGTGTTGTATCTGTCCGATTTCTGTGTTCATGCCAATGTTTGTCACAACAGCGATGCATCTTCCAGCCACAATGGCAGTGGACGAAAATAAGATGTTTTTCTTCAACTGAATTTCGCAGTTCTTATAACTGGGATCTAATTTCTCTGAATACTTATCAACAGAACATGATTCCCCTGTTAGCATACTCTGCTCTACCTTAATACTGGTGGAAAAAATCTGGATGATCCTGGCATCGGCTGGGGTTTTATTTCCTACACTTAGCTCGATGATGTCACCTATAGTCAGGTACTTACTATCTATGATTTCCCACTTTCCGTCTCGCAACACTTTCGCTTTGGTCGGCTGCAACTGCTTCAGGGCATCCAAGGACTTCTCTGCATTGCACTCCTGCCATACTCCCACTGCAGCATTTAAAATTAGAATCATTACGATCACGAGGGGTTCAATAAAATCACATAGGGACACTTCATGGCTCTGCATATCGAGCAAGGTTAGTGCAAAACTTATGAATGCTGCCAGAAGAAGGATCTTCACTAGGAGGTCGTCAAACTGGTTCAAAATCAATTCAAGGATTCCTTTCTTCGTTTCTACTTCTAACTCGTTGAGGCCGTACTTTTCCTTCCTTCTGGCTAGCTGGCTTCTCGTTAACCCCTTCGTCGCGTCCACGTCCAGCGCCCTCAACACCTCCTCCACGCCGTGCACGTGCGCGTGCCGCACCACGTTCTCCATGGCGCAGGCACTCGGATGTCGTAATATTCACTGGGGAGGGGCGATGTTCCTCACCGCTACGTTTGAATTTAGGCGGGCTCACAAATGAGGGGGAAATAAAAATACGGTGGAGCACCCCCTGGGTGAGACTACCTATTCTTCTGCTACTGACTTGCCCGCTTGCGTCCCCCCTACACTTATGGAATGGTATCCTCCCTCTACATGCACACCTTCCGCAGGTGCTGAAATGGGAAACGATACGGATGGGTGCTGGTGTGCCTGGGTGGGTATCCCACAGAACGCGGCCAACTGGACTCAAAGGAAGAATCACAAACAGGCTTGCCAGAGAGACTCACAAATGAACGGGGGAAAAACACTACACGTGAGAATTCCCACTTGACATTCTGGGCAACATGGAGGCGAGGGTTCGCCCCAGGGGTGTACGACTGGCTACACTGTGCCACAACCACGATGGGCAAGCCAGGAAGGAAGCGAGTGGGTAGGCGGCGTGGCCAAGCGAGTGAGCAATCAAGCAAGTTCGCGGGTGTTCTCCAAGCAGTTTTAACTGACGCTGTAGCTGGTGACATTCACCCCTTAGTGGGCTTTGCTCACCCTCGAGTCGGCTTCGCTACCCCTCCTTTCGACGCCCAATCGTGCACGTAATCCTACGAAGGGGCGTTCTTAAGCGGCCGTTCGCTCGCGCCCGATGCCGAGCCCTGCAACTCTACTTAATTATAAAGTGGAATGTCTTCTTATAAGCAGCTTCTCGTCAGAAAAAGAAGAAAAAAAAAGAGCGACGAATTGCTACATAGGCAAATCGGCCGAAGGCCTTTCCAGCCAGGTGAAAAATACGCATATGAACATACCCACAAGTAGTGTGAACACTAAGCATTTGACAGAACGCACGTATGCTCGTGATGCTACGCGCGTATGGGTCAGAAATATTTCCCGTATATAGCACATATGACGAAAAAAAAAAAAAGAGAGAAAAGTAAAAAAATAAAAATAAAAAAAAAGGCAGTAGCATCAGGAAGAAAAACCCAACAAGAGGTGAGAATCTTCTGTATTGTGAAGGGGAAGAAAAAAAAAATTTCATTGCCATTCGCCCGGCTTATTCAAGCGTTAGGGCTTTTGCAGCGCACCGTGCAGGCGTGTATTTTTCATTTATGTATACACGCGCATGTAAGATGGAGTACGGCGCGAGTATAGAATGAAGAAGTAGCAAACAGAGAAGGTAGGGGAAAGTTTTGGCACGCCCTTCCTTCGGGTTGCTCAATTTTTTTTTCTTTTTTTCCTTCTTTCTTTTCATCCTTTTTTTTTACGCATGCGCTTGCCCATGCCGTACAGTTTTCCCATCATCCCCCCTCCTCGGCACTGTGCAAACTTTGCGAGGTGGGTACCCCTTTTTGGAAGTGCAATAAACTTAGTCAAGGGGGGAAGCACCAGAAATGGGCCCTTTTCTAAAGGACTAAATTATATGTTTGGTGGTCCTTCAAATTGAAGAGTACCACACATGGGAAAATCCAAGTGACCCAAAACCTGCGTACCACAGCGGGGGTGAAATTCGCCCACCTGGCGGGAGGAGCACACCCCTTCAAGTACAATTCCTCCCACCAGTGAGGGAGACGAACACGGACATGTAAAATAATCTTCCACGTTTCCACCAATGGAGATAAATAACAGCGGCTTTTGCTCGTCCTTTTGCACGCTAAACAGTGTAGGCATTGGCTCATAATTCCCAATGGGGGAGGGTGGCACTATTGTACTCGTAACCTATCGCGTGGCAAATTTAAAAAAGAAAGAAATAAAAAAAGCACCCACAAACAGTGGCATAACTCATGGGGATCTGTTCGCACACAGGAAGAGTGGCATAACCCATGTGGCTCTGTTTGCACCCACGAAATGTGCAACGGTAGCCTTTCCTCATCCCACTTCTAATCGCATTAAGGCCATTGGAAACACGAGGGCCAAATGAGCAAACGCACGTTTTAAGAATATCCAGTGTAAATAACATAGGCACAGATGTTCTGCGAATTGGGTTTGTGTTCTTCCCCTCACCCCCCAAAAGATAAAAATGAGACATATGATTCATAAGGGTAATATGCTGCGGATCCAGATTTACCCCTTCCGCCTCTTTCGACATAAACGCTTGGCCTATCTTGAGGATCTTTTCCCCTTGGCCAACTTTCATCGATCTTATTTAGAGGACGCCACTAAGAGACCAACTCTAATGATGAGTAACCAAATAGTTCTTTACCTCCGAAATGCCCCCATACGGATTGGATCCCTTGGGAAAAAGGGGCACCACAATCGTATAATTGCCTTTCCACAGTGAACGCCACGAACAGCTGGTGGAAGGGAAAACCTATTTTTGTGCTTTCCCCCACTCAATGGGAAGGATTAATCTCACTTATCCATTTGTGTATTATCCGTGCAGCAAGCCTTCCTTTCCCTTTCCCCCGCACTCTGCAATGTTGATGGCCATTTTAATTACGCACAGGACAAGGTATACTACCCAGACGTTTTTAACGCATTTAGGGCATTATTTTTTCCCCTATCAATTTTAATCATGTTTGTCGCGAATAGGTAGATCTTATAATCGCGTCATATGTTTCACTACGCCCCTTTTTCGAATCGGGCATAGATGGTACGCCTGTGTGATTTATTGCGGTTACAACAACCTGTGCCTTTTGAACCGTTGCAATTCGCTTAGTTGGTGCCTCCTCAGCAGCAATGCCGCTGTTAGGTTACGCAATTAGGAACCGCTCCTTCAAGAAAAAAAAGCAAAAAAAAAACGAAAAAAAAACAAAAAAAATAGGTCCGCGTCAGGTCATGCACAAAAAAAATTGTTTTACTTCCTCCATTTGGATAAGGAGCTTTTGAATTTGCCAAAATTCCCCCTATGTTGTGCCGACTTATGCATGTTGCCATTGCGCTGCTGATACATCGGCTTGTCGCTCCTTTGCGTTATTCACCATTTTATCTGACCTTGCAAGGTGAAATGTGAAGAGAAATAAAGCTTCCCACGTTACGGTTGAGGAGAATAAGTTTTCCCATTTTTTTTGAGAAGGCTAAGAGCAGATTTGCTGGCCCTCAACAGACCAATTTTCCTACCTGGCAGACCGCTTCTATAATTCGCAAGGAGAGCACTGCAGGGAGACAAATGAGACGAATGATCGATTCAGCAGGCATGTGGAACCCTCGAGACGAATTTTTCAGATCAAAATGAACGGTGACGTGTCAAATCTGTTCTACGAAGGGATTAATCTAATTTTTGACAAGTGGTAAAATCCTATATATACGCGCACCGGGTGACGCCCATGGGGGGAAGGGGAAAAGAAAAACGCAATGAAGATATTTTATTCGCTCTCCCCCCCTTTCTTTGAGCGTTTCTTATTGAACTTTTTGCCCCTGCGGAGTTAACACAAAGTTGGCTCCACCAAAAGTTCGGTGAATGGTTTCTCGCTGAATGCTCCTTCTGTGTAGATATATAAACATGGGCACATTCTTAAAAAGTCTTGTGATTTTCTCCACTTTATGTTTTTATTACCGGCCTTCTATTTTTACGGTGTGTTTTTTTCTCCCGCTCCCCTGTGCAGGACTGTTCTCCGTTTGGCCGTGACGAACAACTGGGGAGGGCCAAGTTCGGAAGAGAAGAAAAAAAAACTAATCGATTATGTGCATAGCTATGTGTTGTCGGGTAAGCGATACGGGAGAGGACACAGAAGGGGAAAATAGCAAAAAATAGGGAAAAAGAAAAAAGAAAAGGGAAAGGAAAGGGAAGAAACCTCCAAAGCGCGAAACAGAGCCTTCACACATTCCGGTGTCATGGCCAAGTTGTGGATACCACTCTGCACTGGCCACTCCCTATTTGGATTTTTTTTTTTTTTTTTTTTAAATAATAGAAAGGTCAGGTAAGAAAAAGAAAAATCCCAAATGTGCACATTTTTTTTTTTTTTTTTCCCCATTTTAGCTAGCAGCCCAAAACACAAGCTATGCGACTACTTGAGAGACGAAATGAACACTCTGTTCAACGTAGACATTGAGGATGACAGTGATGTACTGCAAAATTGCGGAAAAAGAAATTAACATATTTCAAGAAATTGCACAACAGTGTACTGCATGTGGTTGCATATTTGTACGTACCAACAGGTGCACATAGAACTTTCCCCCTTCGCCTTCCCCCACACACAAACCCAGATCGAAGTCTCCGATTTGATATTAGACCTGTACAGCAATTTGAAAAAGAACAACCTGGACATTATAGAAAAAATCAGACAGATAAAGGAGTCCGATTTGTCGAACTGCAAGGAAAACGACTTAATAGAGGAAGCCTACGATTCCGAGGAGGCCGAATCCGGAAGTGATTTTTCGGACGAACAACAATCAGGGAGCCACTACTCGGCTGAGGCCCATTCTGATGAAAAAGAACTAAGCGGTGAATAAGAAAAAAAAAAAAAAGAAAAAAAAATAAGAACTTCCTAAAAATTGACAAAACTGAGTAGCACACACTGTATAATTCGTGCGTCGTACCAATGAGCTCAGCTGTAGGAATGTGCGGAAGCAACAACACAGTAGCCTTTTCACTATCCTCCTAAGTTAAAAAGGGCACCATATATACCTACACAAAATTTGTGTATACATACAAAGGGGGCGCTCCGCAGCGTGCATCATCTCGTGTAGCCCACAATTTATGCGTCCAAAACGTTTCACACGAACAAATCCACGTGAAACATTCCTAACGTAACGGAACGGACGAAATGGTCAAATGGTGCAACCATGCCGAATTAAGCTTTACCTTTGTCCTATCCATTTCCTATATGCCGCTACCCTCGACATGTGTGATTTACCAGGTTAAGAAAAAAAAAAAGAAACGCCTGAATGGGTCATGCAATATTAGCAAAACGGGTGAACAATCTACCCTTTTGGATTTCTTTTTTTATAAAAAAGTTTGTTTCCATTAGTATTTCTTCCCTTTTTCTTCATAAAAAACTTTACATCTCTTACGTTAAGTTTTGAAGAGACTTATTCTGTGTAGATGGGAAAGATGGATGAGGGGTTCTGATCCAATTGGCCCTTTTTGGTCCTTATTTTCACCTTTCCAAAGAGGGTAAGGGGGGGTACTTTGCCCCAGGGAAAAGGAAAATCACTTGAGAGATGGTGGTGGTGGAACACATCTAGGAAGAGCCACAATATGATACATGATACACATGTGTGGTTAAGTTTATACACATCGCTGAGGACCCTTTCTATGCTTCTGCCTTTGGCCTTTTGATGTTTGTACCCCCTCGCGTGTTTGTGCTTCAGGCGACTGAGATTATCTTAGAATATGATGGGGCGCCCGTCCGAATTATTCAGCATTTTAAAACGTCGTCCCATTTCGTTGTGGGCGTGTTTAAAGTGTCCGTTTGTGCACATACATACACGTGCGTGGTATCGATTGGGTGAAATTGTATCCTCGGAAAATACGATGCCTTTGGAACGGAGGCGAATTCCTTTTTTCACGAATAAAATTTTGGTGATCTGCCTCAAATGCGCTGTTTCGGATGAGCCCCGACTGTTCTCACCCATACAAGTGTGAAGCTTCCTACTATAATCCGCCGGGTGGGGGGGAGAGAATTCTTTGCACATGCACGTATGTGTGAATGGCAGTGTCATCAGCAGTGTGAATGGTGCCCACTTGGTCCAGTGCAATTTCTCAACTTTGTGTTTTTTCTTTTTCTTTTTTTGCCTTTCCCGAAGGGATCCCCCTTTCCACGTCATTGTTACTTTTAAGAGGGAGGGAACACTCCAGCTACAACTTTTTCCTCTTTTAAGGATGCTCCTTTTTTTGTTTTCCCCATCTGATTGTTCCATCCTGCCGCGTCGCTTATGTTCACAAAGAAGAGAAGTTTAGAGAAAGTCACTTTCGTCACGCCATGGAAGTCGACTTTGTGAGCGAGCAGCGTCGGAACAGGAGTGGTCTTCTGTTCGACAAGGGGGGGGAATCGGCAGGTGAAGTGCCAGGTGAAGCGGCGGGTGAAGAGGCAGGTGAAGAGCCCAGTGAAGAGGTGGAAAAACCGCCAGAAGAATCGATCATACCAGAAGGAGTAGACGAGTGCTTCGTTCGGGGCGATGGCGAAAAGGACTGCGCGGAGAGGAAGCCCCCCCGGGATCCAGACGCTAGTGAATCGGACTGCTCCCCAACCGAGATGCCAATTTGCGAGAAAGAGCAACTCGGGGTAAACCTAAGCGGAGATGAACTGAGTGGAGTAAAACTAAAAGTTGAAGACAGTGAGAAGACAGGGGAAGAGGCAGCGTGCACAGGGAAGAATCTCCATGGAGGAGAAAACGAATTACCACAGTTAAATGAACCTGAAATTAAAGGGGTGGACACCATTTCGGAAAGGCACACAAACCAGAGCAGACGCGTAACCCCAAACAGACAAGGCAAAACGGAGAGAATCAACCAATTGTACAGGAACTCCAAAACTACCAACATAAAATTATATAGACGTATGTACCAGTCATACCTACTTCTCCGGAAGGAACAAAACGAGCTCTTGGTTGAAAATAGGAGAAAAGAGGAAAGAAATATGAAGTTAAAATACGAATTGGATAGCTTAAGGGGCAACAGCTATTATGCTAACTGTTTTTTTAATAATGACTCAGACAACCTTTTCGAGGACCTCGCTTCAGGGATAAGTAACATTTGGAAGTGGATGGACATGGAGAGTAAAAGTGGGCAGATGAGAAGTGGGCAGGTCAGAAGTGGGCACATGGAAAGCGGGCGAAAGGGTAAAGTTGGACCAGCCGCACTTGCTGATGACTCTGAGGGAGTGCCACCCCCTAGAGAAGGCGAACCAGGAAGAGATGCTCACCGTGCAGGAGTGGACGGAACCTCGGAAAGTGGACGCCTCCCAGAGGAACACACCCCTAGTAGGGCCCCTCTTGGGGGGAAGCCACTCCGAGGAGGGGCCCCCCAAGCGGAATGGGAAGCGGTACACAACGAGGTACACAAACCTGAATACAGAGCACAATACAAAGAGAAATACGCTGGAGATCCCACGTGCGAATACGCTAATGCGCCAGGTCGGACTTCCCCTCGGAGGGGTGTCGCCTCGAGTCAGGACCGCCCTGATGAACACTCAGAAGGATATGAACCGACGAGTGATGCCCCCTCAAATGGGGTACAACTGGAGGAAGTACATCTGAAGGGAGTACAACAAAAGGGAGTACAACAAAAGGGAGTACATCTGAATGCAGTACAGATGAATGGGGGCAGATGCCCGATGGAGAATGGACACAGGAGAAACACGAGTGAGGTTCGAATGGACAGTCCATCTCGTATTAATGAGAAAGAGGCGACTCGAACGATGAAGGGAATCCCCCCTCATGAGAGGAAGACCCAACAGGGAGCTACGCACAATGGTGGGCAAAAAAAAAGAGTCCATTTCGTAAAGGAAGGCTATAAACATACCGATAAAAATGATCGAAACGAGGTTACCCTCCCCCCTTCGCACAACTTCTCTTCGCAAGACGACAAAATGGAGAAAAAAAACTCATTCCTTTGGGAAAAGGAGAGTCGCCCAGTAAAAAAAGGATGTGTGAAGTATGCTCATCAGATGCACAAGCGATTTGCATACCAGGATAGGAGTTCTCCACGAGTGGACAGAGAACCCAGTGCGTTCACGTCCATAGAGAGCCCCAAGGATAACATTATTGATTACATTAAAGGGAGACTCTCCAGCGGCGGTATGATCCACGGGAAGGCATCTCTACCAAGTGGCAAAAACACAGTGATGGGTATCCATCCCAGTTGGATAAGACCCAATGTTGATCCAAACAGGATACATATTAAGGAGGAGGAGAACTTTCTCTTTCACATTTGTAACTGCAAAGGGGATAAATACGTCCCCTTAAACGTTGGTTCCTTTTTTATGGTCTCTCCAAAGAGGACTCGGCCAGATGAGGAATTCAGCTTGGGGACTCTGCAGAAATGTATGGACTTTATTTTTCGCAGGAAGGAGAGGAGCAACCACAGCGAGGTGCGCATCAGACACAAAAAGTGTAGTGACGTCCCATGTGAGGGTGTCCCTCTAGCGAATGGAACTGCAAATGTGGGTGCATTGAATGAGGAGAAGCGGTGTGTCCCCCGGAAGGATCAAGGGGGGGTTGGCAAAGAAGAAAAGAAGGATCCATCCCCCGTTGGACAAAGTAACGGTGAGCAAGACAAAAAAAAAACACGACTTCTAACCAAGGTGGCATTAAAAGAGGGAGATAAAACTGGAGGTTTGCAGGAAGGGGAAGAAAAACAAGTTCTGAAAAAGGGGCAGAGTGGACGGAAGCTCCTCCTAAAGATAGACAGGAATAGAAGGCCTAACGAAGGGAGGACACTCCAAAACTGCCAACTGAAGGGAAAGAAGGAGACAAAATATAATAGGCACAAAATGGACATGGGTCTAGGCAGGAAATTTGGTCATATAGTGAGAAGAAAGGGATCAACGCGGAGAAGGGACTCCTGGGGGGGACTCAATTTTAAAGTAGTCCCAAAAAAGGAAGAAAAAGGAGGGGAAATTTCCTCCCCTGTGGTGAAGGTAAGGGCAGCTAGGTTGGCTCCTCACGTGAAGGGTCGTCCACGGCATGTGTGTTTCGCGCGAATCGGCAGAAGGCTTTTCCATCCCAAAAGAAGCCGACGTGCATGTATTCGTTTTGAAGAGGTCCCAAAGGGGAAAAAAAACCGAACTCGTGGAAAGGGAAACCTCATCGAGTTAGCGCCAAAGCTGTGCGATAACTTGGGTACCTACGGAAGGTCTAGCGAAGAAGGTGACGATGTGGTCATCCGAAAGGCTAACCAAGAACGTGAAGATATGATCATTCGGAAGGCTAACGAAGAAGGTGACGCTGTGCCCATCGGAAAGGAAGATAACTTGAAGGAAGGGGACACTCCGGAGAGGCATGCAGCGAACTCTCAATGCAGTGCGATCACTCCAGAACGGTACAATGCCTCCTTAAGACCATTCACAGATAGCACACCACCTGGATGCCTCCAACGTGAGAACGACTCAGTAGCGAATCGCGACGCTCTTACGGAGGCACTGACGAAGCATGTGCAGTCTCTCGATTTTTCCGCCAGACAGATCGACTGTATTGAGGAAGAAAACCTCGACGTAGTGACCATCATAGGAATACAAATCAAAGTCAGAGATGGACACATATACCTACACCTGGACGCACTAAGTACCATTGAAGATACTGTCACTGTGTGGATAAAAAAAAACGAGCAAGTCCTAAACAACTATGTAAAAGGCAGCGAGTTAATTTTGTCGACGTTGGAATATTACTGCGTCGATATGTTCACTTTCTTGTGTATTTTTTTGGACCTCCTGGAAAACCATGTGGAAGAGTTCCCTTTTTACCTGTCCGTTTCGCTGGAGGAGATATTCTGTGTGCAGAGGGACTGCTGAAGAGGCGTCGCGCCTGGGTTGATGCTGTGCGGGGGCGTGCAACAGGGGTGCCACCAGGAGTAGTGTCACCAGGAGCAGTCCCACTGAAAGGCGTCTGTAAAAAGTAGAGACACCAAAGTGACTACACAATGGGAAGCAGTCAAAGGAAGGCACACATAGGTACAGCCGAAGAGCTCACCAGAAAGGGAAGGACACAAGCGCTACAGACGCTGCACCTCCAGCACTTGTCCCCATAATGAAATATATTTTTTTTTCCCCCGAGTGCCTTATGTGTTGAGTAGCACTTGTCTGCATAGAAGGGGCAAACCAACACAGGGAAGAAGAAATACTTCCCCTGAAATGAGCCTTCCTTTGTAGGAAACATGCCAGTGATGTTTGTTCCATGCTGGGTAAGACGGGGCCATCAGTAGTGCGCCCTTATGGGGTACACCACAACAAGGCACAGGTTAAGACGCACCTCCGTTTGGTTGCATCCCCGCTACAAGTATTGCACTAAGCTGTGTAGCACTTCTCACATGGAAGCAATCTCTTAAAAAAAACAAAAAAGAAAAAAAAGAAGAGTCACGCTGGAGAGGGCGCACGCGGAAGGTGAGTAAAAGGGGTGACGCATACATTTTTATTTCTTTATTTCTTCGCAGAGCACGAGCACAGAGAGGTTGTCGCGCGGGCCTACGTGTGTAACAGTGCCTATGTGTATATTTGAGTGCGCCTGCTTGTCCACCTTTTACGTGCGTGGGTTTCGATCCCGTTGCGCGAGGTTAAAAGGATTTTGCCCCACAGCGGGGAAACATACAACTGTGTAGGCATCGTAACTAAGAATGAAGTATGTGTTGTCCCTACTGCCCTTCATCGTTCTGTGCATTTATAGGAGAGAACATGAGGGCGAGTGCCATGGTAGCCTTCTGTGCGGTTCGCTCGCGGTAGGGAGCGGAGGGTGGCGTCTCAGAAGGGGGGGGCAGAAGACGACTCACTCGAGGATGCTGTACGAGTTGATGCGAAGAAAAAGGGGGGGAGCTGCTCGACGCAGACGCAATAATCGTCGTGCGAGGCGGCGCAACAGACAGCGTAACAAACGGCTCGCAAAGCAGCGCAAGGCACGACGCAGGAAGCAAAAAAGAGAACAAAGGAAAAGAAAAAGGCAGATGAAGAGAGCAGAGCGAAAAAGGAAAAGAAAGGAGAAAAAAAAAAGAAGGAAAGAAAGGAAGGAAAGGAAAAGACAAAAGAAAGAAGAAAAGGAACGACTGAAGGGGAGAGAAGCTGCGGGACTAAGTGACGAGTTGCCGATCGATTCAAATCATTCTGGGGCAGCTGCTGTGGAGGGACAAGCGGGGCCTCCTCCAGCTGAGGAGAGTTACACTAACGGGACGAGTCCCTCTAATGCGTCGAAAGAAGGTGCATCTTCAGCAGTGGCACGTCGGCCAACGCAGATGGGAGGTCACCCACCTGAAGGAAGTGGAGGGCCGATTGACCCATACGGATCGTACACTTCCTCACCGCATGACGACGACACAGAGGAGTCTGACCTTCCCAAACAGGTGGGTGCAGGTACAGGCGAAGGCGCTGCTTTGGCGGGAGCCCAGCTAGACAATGACGTGAAGGTGATCCATTTGAACAGGCTAAAGAGGGAACCCAAGTGGAAGCTTATAAATATAATTAAAGAGATCCTAAGCAGACTGCATTGAGGACAGACGCAGCGGAGTAACCGTGGTGTTCCCAATGTGCAGGGAGCTTTTCCCATACCGCTGCCAATCTGTGCTTCCAATTTGGGGAGACATTCTCGACCGAGCCATTTGTTATTTTGCCGAATGGCGTCACAGTGGCTGGGCGGTTGGCCAGTTGGCCGGTCGTTCTTTAGTTCATTTGTTCATTTGTCGCTTACTTGCTTATTTTTATTGTTTTTTTTTTTGTCTTTTTCTTTCTTCTGTTCGCCGAACTGTACAAAACGAGAGGGGAACGAACCCCCATTTTTCGTTTTCATCCCCGGCGAGTGACACCAAGTGTAGAAGCGCAGCAGTGTAACAGCACAGTAGTATAGCAGCGCAGATGAGCGCGTGTTTTTTTAATTCTTTGACAATGCAGAGGGGGAATACAGAGGGAGGGTGCTTCGCCCCTTGGCGATGGCCCCGCTAGCTGGGAAAATGTAAATTCTTCCCATATGTACTTGGGTCATAAAAACTTCTGAGCGATTTTCCGATTTGTACGAAGCGCTTTTCCGACGTGGTGAGATTTGACCTGTTTTCGGATAGCCGTTCAGCTAACTGCGGTAGGAGGTACTTCTTTTTTTTTTCCTTTTCCCGCTTTGTTTTTTTTTTTTTTTTTTTTTTTTTTTTTTTTCCTGTGCGGATTATTCTCCCCATGTAGAGGGGAATCACGCGGGTGGTGTATAGCCTGCCTTAGCGGCAACAACAACAAAAAAAAAATAAAAAACAATTTTAGTATACTATTGGATAATGTACGCATTCTCCGCAGATGCCAAGTGGCTACTTAGGCAGGTAAAAAAAAAAAAAAAAAAAAACTGCGACTAATTTTCCCATCGGAGGAGGAAATCCAAAAAAGGGGGGAAAAACTTTTTCACGTGACAGCATCTATCCAACAGGTGAGTGGACCTACGCATGTATACAGAAGCGTCCACATTTTCTCACTTTTTAAGTGTTGCGTAGGGCGGCTTAAATGTGACAGCAAGGCAAGCCGACCACCCTGGAGGAGTTGTGAAGTGGTCTCAACCAAACGGAACGAAAAGGAACCAAAACGAAACCAACCGAAACGAATCAAACCGAAACGAATCAAACCGAACTGAGTCCAACCGAACTGAGTCCAACCGAATCGAGCCCCCCCCCATGGATGACAAGCGCAAGCACCACAAGAAGAAAAAGGTGGGGAAGAAGGCCAAGAGGAAGAAAATAAGCAAGGGAGCAAACCGCGGCGCAAAGAACAATGAAGCGAAGAAGTTTCATAAGGCCTTCGCCTTCAGCGGAGGCATCCGAAGTGCGCACCGGAGGAAGCAGCACCAATTCGAGTTAGAAGAAAAGAAGTTAAGGGTTCCAAAACATTTTAAAGAGTGCAGCAAGAGTAGCCCACTGATAGTAGCCATACAAGGCCCCAAAGGGGTGGGAAAAACGACTCTCTTGAAAAGCCTCATTAAGCACTACGTTGGAGTATCCATCAATGAAGTGCGAGGACCTATATCGATAATTACGAAGGCGTTAAAAAGGTACACCTTCGTAGAGGTCGACGATGACATTCTCAACATGATTGATGTGGCGAAGATCGCCGACCTGTGTCTGCTCGTCATCGATGGCAGCTACGGGCTTGAACTTGAGACGCTTGAATTTGTAAGCATCTTAAATACACATGGCTTGCCCAAGGTGATTGGAGTAGTTACTCATTTGGACAAGTTTAAAGACAGCAAAAGCATCCGGAAGAGAAAAAAAAAGCTGAGTAAAAGATTTACCGAAGAGATGGTCGAGGGGGCAAAAATATTCTTCCTCAGTGGAATTCAAAATGGAAAATACAACAAAACGGAGATACGAAATTTTTGTAAATTCGTTTCGTCGATTAAGCGGCCACAGATCTCGTGGAGGGAACAACATGGATACATTTTAGGTCTTCGCTTAGATGTCGATGAGATTGCAACCGAAGAGGATGCTATGTTGACAGTCCGTCCAAAAGGAAAGCAGCACCGGCAAGAAAGGAAGCAGGACGAAGAGGAAGACAGCCGAATTGACCAGTTTCTCTCCAAATGCGATGAGGAAGTCTGCGTCCACGTGGAAGGGTTCGTTTATGGGTCCAAGATTTTTAACAATCAAGTGGTACACATACCTAACATTGGAGACGTCCAGATCAGAGACATTCAGATCCTCCAGGATCCTTTTCTCACCGATGAACAGAAGAAGAATCCAAATGTCTATGCCCCAATGGCAGACGTCGGCAACGTGGCCTTCGATTTCGACAACATGTTTATACACATTCCCAAGAGCAAGGTGAACTTCACCCCAGGGGAGTCGCTCCTTGGGGGGGGAGGAGAAACGGCAGCAGGAGGTGGCGGAGACAGTGCAGAAGGGAGTGGCGAAGGAAGCGACGAAGAATCCGGCGAAGAATCCGGCCGTGGGACCGCTATCCCCCCTGGTAAGCGGGACGACGAGAGGTACATGACGGAGGGCATACGCATGATTCGGGCCCTGCAGACGTCCAAGTACGCGCTGTGCAGCGACGCGGAGGGGGACAACGAGCCGGTGCTCTTCGACGGCCAAGAAGCAGGCCACCGGCGGAAGGCCCCCTCCAACGTGTTCGTGAGCGAGCGGCAGAAGAAGAAGAAGCAGGCGGAGAAGTACATCAACGAGAAGGCCAAGGAGTACACAGAACTGGAGCCGATTCTGTTCGGGAAGAGGGACGCGGAGGACGACTACCACTACGCGGATGGGGTGACCCTCTCGGCCAGCGGGGAAGGGGAGGAACAGGAACAGGATGACCAAGAGGGGGACGATGAGGCGGGTGACGATGAGGAGGATGACGATGGGGAGGATGACGATGAGGAAGATGACGATGAGGATGATGACGATGAGGAGGATGACGATGAGGAGGATGACGATGAAGATGATGACGATGAGGAAGATGACGATGAGGAGGATGACGATGAGGAGGATGACGATGAAGATGATGACGATGAGGAGGATGACGAAGGGGACGACGTCGCCGCGAACTCGGCGAACTCGGCAACCATCCCTAATTTTGCTAACTATCATAACCCCGGGGAGCACCACCTGGCGCAGGAGCTCGCGTTCGACAACAAAGCCAGCCTGGACGCCTTCATTTATGACACGCGGTACATCCACAAGAGGAACAACCACCTGTACTTCAAGGGGGACATCCTGGTGGTGATGCGGCGGGAGAAGAAGGGGGTGCACGGGGAACAAGACTTCTATAGCCTCCTCAGCCCGGACGCCGTGAAGGAAGAAAAAGCACAGCGGCTGTACAGCTATATGCACGAGGAGAACTACTTCCTAGACGAAGTGGACTCCTTCAAATGCACCACAGAGCAGGTGTTCATCTTTAACAACCTGACCGTGTCGCTGGGCGATGTGGCGGACGAGGCCCTGACGGAGAAGTTCTTCTCGCGGTACAGAAGCCTCTATGAGGGGTGTTTTGGGACCACCGACGGGATGGGGAGCGGGGAAGAGGTGGACGCGGTGAGTGAGAAGGAGGCAAACCAACAGGGGGATAACTCCCTCGGGAGGGGTGACACAACAGGTGAGAGGGATACCGCTTTGATGGACGAAGCGGAAGGGAAGGCCTCCATCAAGAAGGAAAAGGCAGAAAGGGAACAACAGAAGGAAAAGTACCAAGAGACGGAGGGTATCGGTGTGTTAAGCAGCAACACATACGGATCTTCCGTCAACATCGGTGAATACATAAAAGTGGTCTTCAAAATAGAGAGGAAAAAATTAGCAGTGATGAAAAAGGGAATTATAATCTGTGGAGGATTGCAGACGTATGAGGAGAAGGAATCCATGATTCACTGCCGAGTAAAGAAGCATCGGTGGTTCCCAAAAGTGTTAAGGTCAAATGACCCTCTTATCATCTCGATAGGCTGGAGGAGGTACCAGAGCATCCCCATTTATTCCATAAACGAGAGAAACAACGTTAGGATAAGATTTCTAAAATACACAACAGAGCACATGCATTGTAACTGCACCTTTTATGGACCACTGGCAGGTGCCAACAATGGCATCTTGGCCATCTGTAACCATAAGAAGGTGCCGTACTATCGCATCTGCTTAAACGGAGTGACGTTAGAGACAAACACAAATGTTAAAGTCATGAAAAAATTGAAGCTGATTGGAGAGCCATACAAGATTTTCAAAAATACAGCGTTTGTTAAAAATATGTTTAATTCGGATCTGGAGGTGAGCAAATTCATTAACTGTCCTGTGGTGACTCCAAGTGGGATTAAAGGTTTGATAAAAAGTAAGTTGTCTGATAACGGAAACTGCAGATGTACCTTCGCAGACAAAGTTCGCATCAGTGACATTGTGATTCTAAAACTGTACGTCAATGTGAAGGTGAAGAAATTTTTTACTTACGATGTGGAGAATAAGTTGAGGTCCATAAATGAGCTAAGGTATATCTACAACCTGTATGTTAATCACAAGAGCAACTATAGGAGTGTCCCCTTTCGTCATTTTTATCATTCGAAGATACACATAAATCCGAAGCTGCTAAGAGAACTTCCGTACAAATCCAAACCCAAGCTGTTCAGCAAAATGAGCAATGAGGAAGAATTAAAGAAAGAGAAACAGAGGAAAGACGACCAGATTAATTTCCGAGCCTTGGAGAACCCCAAGTTAGCTTCTCGATGGTACCAAATGTTGCATACCATTAAAAAGAACATTATGGACAAGAAGAAGGAGAAGGCAAAACTGTCTTACCATAAGAAGCTAAAGAAGGCCCTCATGGTGGAGGAGGCTAAGCACAGGGTGGTGAAGCAGCGGAAGAAGATGTCCTACCGCAAGGGCAAGCTCCGCCCGCACCCTTGAAGAGAGGGGAAGCGTGTACGTGCAGGCACGCCCAATCCGTTTGAGGTGCTTCCCCATTTTATGCCAACATTTTTGCGCGCCACGTTTTTTACTTCACCGTCTTTACTTCACGTCTTTACTTCACGTCTTTACTTCACCGTCTTTACTTCACCGTCTTTACTTCACCGTCTTTACTTCACCGTCTTTACTTCACCGTCTTTACTTCACCCTCTTTACTTCACCCTCTTTACTTCACCGTCTTTACTTCACCATGTTCACTTCACCTTCCTTACTTCACCTTTTTTTTTTGCACTCCACTTTTTTTCCCATGTTTTCATTTTCCCATTTTTTCGTCCCTACCTAAACCGCCGCTTAACCGCGCCTGCAACAGTTTTGGCACTGCCAGGTAGACCCCCCCCCCGCGAAAAGCACACCATTTGCACAGTTGTGAACGTGCGAGGATGTGGAAGCACTTAGTCAGTGCAGCTCCCTGGAGGGGAAAACTGGAACACGCACACAAGTCAAGCCGAATAGCTTTGTAGTACCGATGGCACATTCATTTTAGACGAAGGTGGATATATCCCATCGTCCCGTATAGTTTCTTCCCATTTCGTCCTTTTGTTTTTTTCCCATCCCATCAGTTGGGTGTCCCATGAGAAGCGAAAATATAATGGCTGTATTTTTTTTTTTTTTCCCGAAGGAAAAGGTAAAATATACACGTCAAGCGGGCAGCGCGCAAACGGAATTGACTTAACGAACAAGTCCGTGCATATATGCCAAAGGGGGTGGAGCATGCATATATGGTCCTGCATCATCGCAACTACCCTGTGTTGTGATGCAAAAAAAAAAAAAAAAAAAAAAAAAAACGTTTTACGAGGAGAAATAGGCCATCCATTTGCAATAATTCACCGTAAGGATTTAGCCGAATTTTACACACTCCCTCCCCAAAGGGTGACATGCAAAAATAGCACTCCTTGAATTGAAAAACAAATGAACACTCAAGCGTATGCACATGAGGGAAACATGAAAGTGGTGGGGAGTAGTCACAATTGAGTCGAATCTCATGCACAAGTTCGAGTTAAGCAGCAATACGAATTAGAAACCAGATTGAAAGATTAATTCCTGTGATATAACCCTATCAAAAGGCAGGTGCAAAGAAGTGAATTTTTTTTTTTTTCTCTCACCCCCCAGAAAAACTTTTTACTTTCCGAAATTGTATGACCGTCCTGCAATTGCACACATTCCCAAGGGGGGGGGGAGGACACTCAGGACATATAAAAACACCGCACACCCGGAGCATACAAAAAAGGCTACTTCGTCTTGCACATGCCGTTGCGAAGTTTGCGCGCCTCCTTGTATGGACATGTGCCGGAAGAAGAATAAACAGGTTGTGTAGCTCTTGTGCCGCTGCACGTTGCGTAGCTATTGTGCGGTTCCCTGCTACCCATTTCACAAAAACCTCGACGCAGTCATCAACCATTCCATCAACGCAAGCACAGCCAAGTGCTGCTCCCCCTATATCCTTCCCAATTGAGACCCCCGCATAGCCACGATGGCACACTACTTATCCAATTTAAACAGCAGTGATAAATATGACGCAGGCCAAAACTACCACTCCAACAAGGTTTTTAATTCAAAGTTGGTTCTGTTAGGTACTGAGCGATTTCACAGTGTGTGTGTCTGTGTGCAGTTGGAGGTGGAGGCCGAGGCCAACATGTAGATAGGGGGCAGGAGGAGGTGGTTGACACAAGGAAACTCAACCACCCCCCTTAACACTACCCCTTACGAGTAACACATAAACGAATGACCAACCTTCCCCTTTTTTTTTTCGCGCGCTTCCCCACTTCTGCAGGAGACACATCGGTAGGGAAGTCTTGCATCGTCGTGAGATTTGCCAAGAATGAATTTTATGAGTACCAGGAGTCCACCATTGGTGGTAAGTCCGGATAAGTCTTATTCTGCAAAAGGAGGATTAGCAAAGAAAAGAAGCATGCGTTTTTTTTTACCTGAACGGGTCATACACTTTGCATGTAACACAGAGAGAATGCAGTTCGCTGTGTCCCTCTCCTCGTAACACTAATTTGACATGCCAACATGTTTCTTTCCCTTTGTTTCCCCCGAAGCTGCCTTTATGACACAACTAATCGACATAGGCGAGTGCACCATCAAGTTTGAAATTTGGGACACCGCAGGGTAAGGAAGGAAAAAACGAAAGGGAGAAATCACCGGAAGGGTGACCAAACCAACACGCTTTTACCGCTTCCTTCTCCCCCCCCTCCCCTCCTAACAGGCAGGAAAGATACAGAAGCCTTGCCCCCATGTATTATCGGTAAGGCACACTTTACATGTAGCTGTGCATGCGTGGGGAAAAATATGTAGGTCATTCTAATGCGTCAGCTTATCCTCTCCCATGTGTGTGGTTAAACATATGAGCATTATCCGAGTGTCCCAATTTGTCCCTCCCCATTTCGCGTTCAAACGCTTTAGGGGCGCGTCAGCAGCCGTCATCGTATACGACATAACGAATAAGAAGTCCTTCGAAGGCGCCAAGGGCTGGATCCACGAGCTGAAGTCGGTGCACTCCAATGACATCATCATAGGTGAGTGGACCGTTGAGTGATGCCTCTGCGCGATGCGTTATGTTGGATTTCCCTTTTCTCTTCATTCCTTGCTTGCCCTTCCCCCGCCGAACTCAGCCCTCGCCGGGAACAAAAAGGACTTGGAAAAAAACCGAGTGGTGGACAGAGAAGTAACCACGAAAGGAGCAGACCTCCCACTGCCGCATGAATCGCTTATGCAAAAAGAGCCATTTGGGCCAAAAGTTTATGAACAAGCCAGGTGATATAGAACATTTTTCCGTATATTTTTTTTTTTTTTTTTTTTTTTAGCTAGCTGAGTCTTTCGCCAACAGTAACAACATTCTGTTCATCGAGACGTCTGCTAAAACGGGACAGAACGTGAACGAGTTGTTTTTAAGGATAGGTAATTCGGAAAAGAGGCAATTCTGCATTTGAGCCCGTGTGTACGGATGTAAAAAAATCCCGTTTGTGATTTTCTTTTTGGCCATCTTGCCCTTTCGACAAATGCGTGTCCCTTACCTCCCTGGCCGCAGCTAAGAAGTTGCCCCTCCACAAGAAGGAGCAGGACAAATTCTCGGGAATTCAGGTTTCGCCGGAGGAGAGGAGCATATGTGTATGATTGCACTGTTGCACGGTTGCACTATTCGACGATTGCATATGTGTGTCCCCTGGTGTATGCACGTCGAAACTTAGCAATTCTGTCTGGCCGCGCTGCGAACGTGTGTGCAGTTTGATCACTCATTTGTGCCCCTTCCCCTTCACAGATTAACAACACCGAAGAAGCAAAGAAAAAGTGCTGCTAACGGGAGCTCGAATGAACTTCCCCGCCTGTTCTGTTTGATCCCTTCACAGTTCCTTCCCCTAGTCCCGCGCCAGAAAAAAAAAAAAAAAAGTAAGAACAGTCACACAGGATGATTTCAATCAAGCGTGGAAGTAACCTCCATTTGGCAGTCTATTTTATTTTTTTTTTTTTCCCTTATGTACCTTTTGTAGGCGTCCCTTGGTGCAGTTCTGCCCCTACGCGTGATGCATTAGGGTAGAGTTCTAGCCATGTGCGCGCAGGTGTACTTGTCGTGTTGAACACAAAGGGATGGCGGGAAGAAACTTATATTTTGAAGGAGCCTTTTTATTTTCCACTCTTACAATAATTAATTTGGATTCTCCCCCACATGCCATTAAGCGATTTCGCGTTAATTTATGCTGCACCAACATATTCCCCCCCGCTCCTGTAATGGAGCAACTTTGCACGTCATTGTTTTGTTTCTTTATTTGTTCATTTGTTGATCTTACCGGTTTGCTCATCTGCGCTGGTACGAGCGTATGTATGTGCGCTTGTATTTCTTTTTTTTTTTTTTTGTTTCCCTTTTCACCATTATGGACCAGTTTCCACTGCCCAGAAGATAACGTCGCCAAGTACGGAACACAGGGATCTTGTGCCCCTCACCCGGAATGTAGCATCTCCACAGTTTTGTTACGTCCCCGTTGCTGATTTGATCGAACCGAGATTAGGCCAGGCATCACATCAACGTCAACATCAGAGGGTGCGTCTCTTCCTTTTAAAAGGGGGACAACAAACTTGTAACCGATTCGCCTGCTTATCGTTGAACCTGCGTCATATTTGAAGGTCATTTTTTTTTTTTTTTTGTGCCCCCTCACCACTCTTGGTGATATTGCTTTTCTTTTCTTATCTGCCCCTGTTGCATCCCCCATTTGTGTCACACCAAAATGATGGTTAAAGAGAAAATATTGGAAGAGAATGCGCCAAGTATATACAGCCCACTACAAGTGAGGAACTGGCTGTCCTATGAGGAAGAACGTCCAATGGACTAATTATAAAATGAGAGAACATTTTGTTTTCCAGACTTGTTAGGACATCTCCCAGTGGCAATCATCGCCAGGGAGGTTCACCCCTAGTGGAAGTGGGCATGTGGAGAAGTGAAAAATAGGAAGAATCGATTAAAGCGGCTTGTATGCCCTGATACTGTTTCGTTTTTCCCCCCTTTTTTGTCGGCGGTCCGGCCCAGGCAACTGGCCCGTTAAGAAAAAAATGAAAGACGCCCCGTTGAGCGTCCGTCTGGTCATTCGCCTCCTTGCCCGCTTCTCCCCGTGGTGTGTTTTAATTAACTATTTGCTTACCCTGCGATGGTGCTTTCCCCACGTACTGCGCAGGAAAGTGGCACCAACATGTGCGAAACTTAGAAGGGTACACCGCGTGAGGATATTTCAGGGGTATCCTGGGGGGAAAGTTGCCTCTTCCCTGCATGACATAGAAGGGGGTATTCCTGTCCTTGTTAGGAGACGGGGGAAAGCTAACGCCATGCAGTTTATTGTTACCAGAGGGGGGGGTGTTTATAAAGTGGGTTTTTTTACACCTTCTCGGGGGGAGGGGAAGAACAGAGGTGAGTGCGATAAAGGGGGACAGTTGCATGCAACGGAGGGGAGAGGAAATGTATACGGTGCGAGCACAACGCGGCAGAAGACTCCACAGCAGACTTCGCAGGAAAAGCAGGACCTCGACCTCTCCGAGACAATCAGGAAGACAGATCAGGACCATACACAGGAGTACAGAAAATATGAGAAATCGTTGGAAAAAAAAAACATTCACGCCATTTTACTCTGCGGAGGGATCGGCAAAAGAACAGAATTGGCGAATGGAAAGCAACTCCTAATGCTGAATGATTTCCCAGTCTTCCTATACTCTTTTAATTTGCTCGTCAAATGCAATATAATTAAGTCCATCAGTCTTGTGTGCGATTCGAATTATTTCCACCATGTGATGGATAGTATAAACAGATTGAACGCTCCTCTTCTACGGAGGAAACATGAGAGGGGGTTCCTGCGCAGGGGTCACTCGAAGAATGTGTTGACTTTGTCGGAAGAACACTCCGAGAGGGATACCATCCAGACTATTCAATTCTTAAAAAAGAATAAGTTTATAATATATGACAATGAGAAAGGGAAGTGTATCACCCACTTGGATGAGCTGCTAACCGATGTGATGGAAAAAAAGAGGCAACACTGTGTGGGGGAAGTGGAGAACGAACCATGCAGAAATACCACTAATAGGAGAGATACTCGTGGAAAAGGGACAAATAGCAGTGACGAGGTGAAGCCAAGCGATGTTGACTCGAATCGGTACAAGATTATACGGCTGCTGGAGAGCGGCCCGGAGAGGGTCGACTCCCTGCTGAATGCGCTGCGAGGGCTGGACTTGTCGGTGCAAAATGGGGAGTACATCTGCCGGCTGCTGCGGGGGTGCGCCGAAACATCGGGTGAAGCGGGTGAAGCGGAGGAAGCGGATGAAGCGGATGAAGCCGATGGCGCAGGTGAAGCAGATAAGGCGGATGGCTCCGATAGTGTGGACGGTGGCCACCCCGCTCGCAAAGCGCACATCTCGCACATCCTGGTGCACGACGGGGCGCGGCCCTTCTTGTCCGAGCTCGACTTCTTCAATCTGATTTACATGGCCACAATCGGGAATAATACCATTCTGGGAGCGCGCGCCACGGACACCATTAAGCGGATAGGCAGCGAGCAGCAAGGGGAAGGTTGTCCCAGGGTGAAGGTCAACGTAGACAGGCAGTTCATATTTCTGGCTCAGACTCCACAGATATTTAGCAGCCACGTGTTGCTACAGCTGTGTGCGAAGTTAATTTCAATGAGAGGAGCGGAAGTCCAAAAAAGCAGGAAAACCTTCACCGATACCTCTTCCCTATTTCAACACCTTACAAAAAAAAAGGTGTTCGCTTTGCAGGCAAGGTTTCCTAACTTCAAAATTACGACCCCGGCGGACGTCTTCCTCGCCATCTTTCTCATGGGACACCTTTTTAAGAGATCGCATGGCGACGTGGACATGGGGATGTTTAATCAGGCGTTTGTGAATTCTCCTTCCAGTTACGTTCCTTCGAACCAGTTTAACGACCATTTTTTTTACGACTCCCTGGGGGGGAAGCAGCGCGTCCTGTACCACCACTTCTACTACGAGTAGGGTCGGTAGGCCAGGCGCGCACGGGCGGGCATTTATTCGAGAGGGGCTTCGTTAGAGTGTTTATGCATGTGTCTTTGCGATTCCTTGCTTCTTACCACTAGCGGGTCCCCCCAGCCCATGTACACCTCGTTAACCTTTTTTTTTTTTGTATTCTCGCTGCCCCCTCCCCCGTTTGGATAACTCCGTATCGAACTTTTCTTTCCACCGACTCGCACACCGCATGCGAGGATATGTGTATGCATTTGCACGCGTTGGAGAGGGAAGAAAAAAAAAAAAAAAAAAAAAAAAATATATATAGATTTTTTTTTTTTATTTTCTCCTCTTGCGTAATAACTGCTCTGTTGAGTCCCCTTCGTGGCATTTTTTCCAATCTGTCAGGAAAAGACGTCTGGTCAATCTCTCTCATGTTATGATCATCTGCATTCTTTCGCGATAAGGGAAGATCATCCGTTTGGATTTCCCCATTTACGCTGCGCGCATTGGTGACGCGGAAAAATTTTGACACAGCTGAGTGCACAATTTTGCCGAAGCTCCGTTTGAGGGGACAACGAGAGTGTTCGCCACTCGGTTGCTTCCCAGTTGGTCACGCCTGCCCTTCTTGTGACGCCCCCTCTTCTTGTCACTCCTGAACGGGGGAAGGCGCTGCGAAGAAGGAACGAAAAGGACTGATTTCCCGCCGTCTACCCCTTTGGAGAATACCCCTCGTAAGGCGGAGGGCGCCTCATGTGTAGCGGTACAGGCTGTGCCTGAGCGTAGCGGTACATGGTGTGGCCATTCAGCCAGCTCGCCGCTCCTCCTACCCCTCCCCTGTACGCAGAGTCAAGCTAAAATGAACAGGAAACCCCCCAACATGATTCGAAGCAGCAATGCCAGAAGCAAACGGAACGAACTAAACGAGGAACAGAAGCTCGAAATAAAGGAAGCCTTTGATTTATTTGACACCAACGGCACGGGTACGACGTCTAGTTCTCTGTCGACGTAGCGAGCAGCATTTGTCTCTTCCCCCAAGCGACCTCTACGGAGTGACGCACGCTTATTTGCCCATCCCCGGGCTTCGCCACATCCCACATTTCGCCACACTCCGCAGGAAGAATTGACGCGAAGGAGCTGAAGGTTGCCATGCGGGCCCTGGGCTTCGAACCCAAAAAGGAGGACGTAATGGGAAAACGAGAGAAATTCGACAAAAAAAAATAAGACAGAAGCACAGATATCAGATAGCCAATCAACTACCACACGTACGTGGATGGACTGAAGTTGGGGCAGTCACGGAGGGGGACAGCTCCGCATTCAGAGGCTGCCTTGAAAAATGCGCCCTATCCCTTCCCCCCCGCAGATTCGTAAAATAATCTCTGACGTTGACCAAGACGGGTCGGGCACCATCGACTTCAATGACTTCCTGGACATCATGACGATCAAGATGGTTAGCACGGAGGGTAGCAGAGTAGCGGCGTCCCTGAGAGGCAGCACGGATCTCTCCCGAGCTCCCTTTTTTGTGTACTTCTACCCGTTTGTGCGATTGCTTGCCCTATTTGACCCCCCTGAACACATATCCTCCACCCCCCTAAACTGCTATGACCCCAGAGTGAGCGAGACCCCAAGGAGGAAATACTCAAGGCCTTCCGCCTCTTTGACGACGACGAAACTGGGAAGATATCCTTCAAGGTGTGTGTCACGTGTAATCGGTCATCTGGGGTGGTCTCTTCTCTCAGGCCATATTGGGACACCCTTTCCCCGTTCAGCTCAGCTAGCCATTTTGACGCTTCATTTGGTTATATACGCTCCGCTTTTTTTTTTTTTTTTTTTCCACGTCATTTGTCCAACTCCCCCCTATTTTTTGCACCGTCCAGAATTTGAAGCGAGTGGCGAAGGAACTCGGAGAAAACATAACTGATGAGGAAATCCAGGAGGTGCGAACGTTACATAACTGCGGAGATGTTCCTTTGTGTGCGATTAAGAGGAGCGTGACTCGATCTGGTTTACCCGTGTTGAAGACATAATAACTCATTTTGTGTCCCCTTCCCCCAACTTTTTTTTTTTCTTCTCCTTTTTTTTCCCCCCTTCCTGGGTCGAACGACAGATGATCGATGAAGCTGATCGAGACGGAGACGGAGAAATTAACGAGGAGGAATTCATGCGGATTATGAAGAAGACGAATTTGTTCTAGGGGAGTCGTGAAGGACCGGGGTGTACCTGCCGGTGTTGAAGCAACTTCCGCCACGTCTGCTCGGTTTGTGCATCTCCCCCCACTGCCTCCCCCCCTCACCGCTCCAACTTGAGCTTGACTTGGTCCGTGAGCGCCACTCGCCTTTTTTTCCTCTTAAACGGCTTCTTCCTCGGCTGTGAGAGGAGGCTCGGACATTTCTCCTCCATGTGATCGATAAGCTCCTCTAATGTATCCAGTAGTAACTCATCAAAGATAAGAAAGTTGAGGAAAATGTTTTTGACAATCTTGAGCTGATCCAGCTTCAGTTCGTTTATGGAGACTTGAATGGAGAGGGACAGATCGAGAAAGAGATTGACGTGTCTGACTTGTAGGAATGCATATGACCATAAAACCTTGACGATGATATCGGGTATCTCGTTGGAGAATACGTATTCCATATTTTGAAGTCTGAATCGGACGTATGGGATGAGTAACACGAGCAGTTCTCTCACGAGTTCTCTCTTGCGATTGAGTTTCGCAAATCCGTAGATTAGCTTGTACAGCATGACGTTGGAGAGGGATTTCACGTCGAAGTGGGTGTTGGACTGGTCATCTCCATTGCGCACGGCTAAGCTAGTTGTTTTTTTCCCCTTGGCTTTCTTCACCGGGGGAATAGTACCCTCTTGATGGCGGCTGCGTTTGGCGAAACTCTGTATGTACACAGCCCTGCCATCTGCACCCTGCACAGTGGCATGGTTAATAAGCTTCTTCTCCAGGTGTCTTAAGTGTCCATTTGTGTGAATGACATTAGAGAGGAGGTAATCCAAGACGGTCTTCAACGCCTCTTCGCTTCTCTCCCTCTCGAAGTTGAGGATAGCTAAGCTGTAAAAAATTTCGACCAAATTGTAAAACGTCAAATATCGGAACAACTGCTTCGTGTGCATGTGTATGAACATCCTCTCCATCGAATTTAAATCCCTCAACTCAGCAAATTTTTGGAAAAAAAAGGAAAAATATTTTTCCTCATAGGTAAGTACAGAGGTTACAATCTTGGTGACAGCTTCTTTGTACAGAGATGAAGTGAGCTTCAGCCTACATAGGTTCTTCACTTTGTTGTGTGTGTCTTTGTTCCTCTTATTGCGAATGAGGTAGTTAAGGAAAAGAGTGCAGTCCTGCACACTGAACTGGGTGATTGAGCTTCTCTGTATTATTCTTAGTATCTTTTCATTGTTGTTCATATTTTCTTTGTCTGTTATTTCTTCATGGAAAATGGATGCGCGGTACGTGTTGGTCTTGCTTCTTCTGTTTCTGCTCCATCGGGGGGAGGAGCAATGTACTTCTTTATTTCCGCTGTTACGAGTCTCCCTGGCGGAGGAGTTTCTTTTTTCTGCCCTGCTAGCAGTTTGGGCGAAGCTTCTTCTGTGGACGCGGGCTGGCCGAGCCCCCGCGGGACGCAGCGCAGGCCGGAGGAGACGCGTCGGATGGGCGCCCATGGGGGGGGAAGTGCCCTGGCGAAGTTGACCATCTTGCTGATATTAAAAGTGGTGTTAGTTCTATGCTGTGGAGCGGCTCTCAATGGTTTCTCTACCCGAGAGGGAGGAAAGAAAAAAAAAAAAAAAAAACTCATATGAGGGCACCGTTGCGATGTGAACACGTGAACAAACCGATGCCACAATTTTTCCCCTCTCCCCTCTGTTGTTCTTGCGCTACAGTCTCACCCTCCACAAACAGTAGAAGCTCATTTAAGAATAACCATGCGGGGTATACACCTGCCGGTGTCTCTCTGCCCCTTGTGTCAAGGCCCAACTGCTCAAAATGGGGGTTAAAATAAGAGTAGCCTCCTGGAATATGTACAATGACGTCTGGCACTCCGTTCGCGAAGCGGCAGAGAGTAGAACTGCCACCCGTTTTAAGAGTTGCTCCCGACTGAGATTTCTCAGCGAAAGGTTTTCGTGCACCCCCTTTGACGTCATGTGCCTGCAGGTGGGGGAAGTCACCCGATGGGTCGCGTCACCCGATGCGCTGCTTCACCAGAGGCAACCCTCATGGAGATCTTAGCAAAAAGGAATAGTAACTCCCTTGCAATTGCTTCCCCGCGTAGGAGGTATCCCCACTGCTGATCTCAAGCCTGCAAAAATGGTGTGCTCATCACAACTTGACGTTGGTGGTGCCTTCGCAAAGTACCCTGACATCCAGCAGCAACAAATGCTGCGTCTTATTCGAGTAATGTTCCCTGGAGGGAGCAGAAGTGTGCTAGCAGACGTGGGCTAGCAGACGTGTGCGGTGAAATTGAGAAACACTGATTGGAACGTACCTTCCGGGGAAGCCCTTCTGTCCATTTCTGTTTCCCCTTTGCTTTTCCCATTAGCAAAAAATTCAACCTGGTTGCCAAGAAACATTTTCATCTCAGCGAGGCGGTGTCAACCCATCTGGTGGGTTACGCTCACCAGGGGGAAAGTGACGTAAGTGCGCGCGATGGGAAGGAGGAAAAGAAGTAGCAAACGTATAATCCGTAGTTAACCAAAAGGATAGAGACACTGCTTCGTTCCTTTGTTTTTTTCTTGTTTTTTTTTGCATTTTTCTGTATATTTTTTTTTTTTTTTTTATCACCAGATCGAAGAGGCATTCATTAAGGAGCTCAGAATGAGAAACAGTATGGCTACGATGCTTCTCCTGGAGCTTCCCCAAGTAGGAGTGGAACGAATATAGACATAGAGAAGTTTTTTTTTTCTATTTTTCCATCCCTTATGTGTGCATTCCACTACTCTCATCTTTCCTATTTTAAACCCTCCCACACACCACCTGGAAGACAAAAATCCTTCTGACCGTTTGCAACTGTCACATTTATTGGAACCCAGCATATGCCGACGTGAAGTTGTTCCACACTTTCCTCATTGTTAAGGAGCTCTTCCAGTTTGTGCGTTCCTCTCTGGAGTCGTTTCCTTTTGTTCCTCTGCTGCTGATGGGGGATTTCAACTCCACTCCCTGTCTGGTAGGCGTTGCATTGTTCTCCCCCGCGAGGTCGTGGGGGCAAACTTCGCTCAGAAAAGTGGGCTCTGCAAATTGCGTTCAGCACAGTGAGCTCAGCAAACTTGGTTCTACAAACCTCTTCTCAGCATAGTCAGGGATCCCCCGCGGATGGCCAACTCAGCGGAGTGTACGAGTAATGTTGCCCCATCCGAAAAGAAAAAAAAAAAAAAAAATCCCAATTGCAACCCGGGCTGATGGCATAACCAATTTGCACCTCTCCCCCTGCAGGCTCATAACCACGGGAAGACTTTCCATGAAGCACCCCCACCATCCGGTATAGCCCCCTGGGGCATCGCAACTCCCCCAGAAAAGAGCATCCTTGTGTTGGTGCCATATTGACATATGCTCCCCGTGTGTTATCCACATTGCAGTCATTATTTGGAAGGGAATATTTCCCCCCTCCCACAGGCGCATCTTCGGAAAGACGAAGCCTTCCTAAAGTACGGAGACCTCCGCATAGATCCGTTCCAAAGCGCCTTTAGGGAGGTAAAACCGTGAGAGATAGCCAGCACGTGGGAGAAAAGAACAAAACATCTGAATTCATTTCGAACAATCGTGGAGACATCTCCTTCGATCCCTTTGTACAAACAGATCAACGGAGCTGAACCCCCATTCACAAACAAGACGACAACATTCTCTGGGTGTATAGATTATATTTTTTTTAGAGGGCTTATCCCCCTGGCGGCCGAAACTTTTCCTGGAGACCTGGGGTGAGGATACACTGCTCATTCGTATAGTCTCTTCATCCTTTTAGCAGTAATACCTTTTGTGGTCTTTCCCCCTATCGCTCGATAGCGTTCCATCCGCATTTGCACCGTCATCGCAGTAAACCTATTTTCTCCTCCCACCCCTTGGAACAGAAAAAGTGAAGAACTCCCCAATTGGAAAATCCCCTCGGATCATCTCCTCCTGATGTCCGAATTTTTTCTCGTTTAAGTGGTGCTCATACTAAGTGGGGGGTGGGGGGGCTTCCCCCCGTTGAGCTCCTCACGCACTCGTGGCAACCGCCCCCCATTTGGTAGCATGATACGACGTAACGGAAGTAGAAGGAGATCTTCTTCTTTCTCCGCATTCAATGAGACAATGGACTGTCGGTACGTTTCCTTCCGCTGTAACGTAACCTAACCCCCCTTAAGTGCAATTAAAAAATGAAGAAATAAAGAGATAAAAAGATGAAAAAATAAAATAAAGAGAAGAACTCAAAAAATAAAAAACGCAAAATGGGATGACTCCCCCTCCGTGACGTGAGTTTAGTTGCCCCTATAAGGTGTGCACTGTCTGCGCTTTAAACGTAATTACCTTTTTTTACCTTTTTTTTTCATTTTTTTTTTTTTTTTGTCCCCACTGGGCCGCTTTGGCCGCTTCATCACACACAGACAAACATGTTGTACTCTCCTTACAACATAAGATGGAGGGAGCCCTGAGGCTCGGTTGTTCATACAAGTGGAGCAAGCTGCACGCAGGGAGTATTTCCTTTTGCAGTTCGATTGGCTCCTCGCCGGGGAATGTTCAACTGAATCTTTCTGTACTGAAAGGGGAAGAGAGATTACACGTGCCAGTTCGAATGTTTCTGCCCCCCCTTCTGTTTCAAGGGACCTCCAATCAGAGGTGAACACACCGCTGTCAGGGAGGCAGTAGTCGCCTCTTCCCATGGCTGCACGTTCGTTTTGTTGCTTCTGTGACAGTGGAGCTGTGCTGCGCTGTGGAAAATGATCTGACGCGGGAACTCAATTACGGTCGCGCTTAGGAAGGAGGACCACTCTTTGCATTTAGCACAGGTCAGTATGACGCACAACGGGAGGCAAAAAAAAAAAAAAAAAAGCAAAAGGAAAAGATGGGCATATGCATGTTTTTTTTTTTTTTTTTTTCGTTGAACTTGAGAGTGCTTGCTTCCCTCCATTAACAGGGCCAATACACCAAGTGTCGCTTCACACGAAGGTTGAAGAACCGCAAAAAGTGCCTCCTCAACCATGCGTCCGTTTCATTTCCCCGTTTGGCTTTCCCCCCACTAACATCTCTCCTCCATCGTGCCGAGTATCCGTGAAAGATCTTAAAAAATCCCTGAACATGATTAAGGGACGCCCGGTGGTATGCCCGTGAAACTCACACTACTCTGTGTTATAGAAAACGACTCGCGAAGAACATCATCAGGCGAAAAAAAAAAGAAAAAACATAACAAAGGGGAAAACATAAAGCGAAAAACAGAAAGGCAAAGGACTCACCATCGGTTGCCTGCAACGAATAGCCCCTCTCGAACTATCGAAGCCGTTGCGCAGCAGCAGGGACTCCCCCACGTACCGTGCCCCGAAGGCCCATCAAAAGAAAGAAGTGGCTTCTTAAGCGGCCTCATGTAGTTCATTTGGTGATTCACATGAGACGTGAGAAGAGATCACCTCCTTGAGCTTTCCCGTTAGCGCTTTTCTCGTTAGCGCTTTTCTCGTTAGCGCTTTTCTCGTTAGCGGCTTTTCCTGCACCTTTGCACGTCTGCCCTTTCTGCACGTCCGCATTTTATGCCCCTCTGAGGAAGAACTGCGCCCCGGTAACCACCATCCAAGACCGACATGTACAGACGGTACATATGGAACAGCCTCTTCCGGGACGTGAATTTCCGTCTGAAGAAGCTTTACCACTCCTTTTACTACGCGCAGAGCCACATAAAATATGTCATGCTTTTTCTCTTCCCCGGAGTAATATGGTCTACTCGGTACAGGGCAGACACTAAGTTGGGTTATCACTTCTATATAAATGAGGAGAAGCTATACCCGAATGGGTTCAGCGAGGAGGGGTCCCGGAGTGACGGGGTGAGCAGCTGGAGTGATAGCACAAGCCTTCTGGACTATCTTTACGGCAAATACTTTCACAGCTGGAATAAACTCACAAAGAAGAAGTGGAAGAATGGGACGAAGCTTTATCTGGACGATGCCCTAACCGTTGCTGACGTGAAGAAGGTGTTATACTCAGAGGAGGAAAACATTCCTAGGAATTTGAAGTTTGGCTGCCGGGGACGGATGATGGAAGACACGGACAACCTAGCCATGGCCGTGCGGGCCTTCTGCAAAAGGGACCCCAAGATTTTTATCTGGGAGGACGAGCACGCTGCGTACCTCTGAGTGGTAGCAGCGGTGTGAGAGGTAGCATTGGTGCGATCGCCATGAGCCGTGTCAATGGTGTCACGTGAACTGAGTCGCTCGCTCCTGCTGCACCAGAGAAGTGCACCCCGCGTAACGGAAAATTCATCCACGTGTGCGTTGCAGCGAGTTGCTCCCAACATGAGTAGCCTCCTAAACGACAACTACTTATCCATTAAAGAAAAAAAAAAAAAGAAAAAAAAGAAAAAAAAGAAAAACCTTTTTTTTTGTTTCTTTTTCTTTTTCTCCAAAATTTAAAAAAGGCATGTTTTTAAAATAATACTATTATAAAAACACTAAATAAAAATAACTTTAAAAAAAAAAAAAAATTAAAAAGTTATGTCAAGCGCTTTTGTTAGAACGCACGTAAGAAGCATATACATGCAAATGGTGGAGGTAGAGTACAGTAGGGTAGGGGGGCACACTTTATAGACCTACCTCACTGGGGAGCAACCCACATGTGTAGACACACATATGTACATACCTGTGTGGGAAAGCACATAGCAAACGGAATTGAAAAAAGAAGAAAAAGAGGAAGGGGAAGAGAAGGAGAAAGAGAAGGACAACGAGAAAGAGAAAAAAAAAGAGAAAATCAAGCTGAACGAGAAAGTCATCAGGAGGGACGTGACGGAGATATAAATCCACACACATGTGCTGAAGCGCATACCGTGTGGGCAGTACATACAGGGATGGTGCGCGGGGACGGTTAAATCGGTGTGGATTAATCAAGAGGGGAGGGAGAGCAACTGCCCGACTCGCACGCAAACAGATAATGCGGCAAGGAACTCGGGCAGCTTTCAAAATTTGAATTAAAAAAGAAAAATAAAATCTAACATATGGGGGGAGAGATTAATTCATCACATGAACCGACAGGGGAAGTAATGGATGGAAGGAAAGGACAGTCCTGTGGGGAAGCCTCGCAAACGGCGACGTGCCGATATGGCTTCCTTTTTTCTTTAACTCAAAAGGGTTACAGCGGGCCAAAGCTCGAGAGCAGCACTGGCAAAAACATGGAGGAGAAGATCACGGAAAAAAAGAGGACCTGCGGGGGGGAGAAGTGATTGCCATGTGAAGCGGCCATGTGAAGCGGCCATGTGGGACAGCCATATGGGGTGGCCACGTGCTGGGCTTGCGCCACGTCGTGCGCGACACCGCTCAGACGCGACTATGCACAAATGTGGGCGCCCGGGTTGGCCTTACCAGAGACAACGTTTGAAAGAAGATGACGGTGAAATCCTTGTTGGAAAAAAACAGGGTACTTATGACAAACCAGGTGGAGAGTCCACTGTGCAGGACGGGCCCTATCATGAGGTGCAGACTTTCCTTCATCCTGCGGGGGGTGGCGGGGGGACAGATGCGGGCATGAATTGGTGCGTAGGAGCGACGTTCACCGCGGCGTTCCTTCTCTCGAGACATATATATAGGTATATCTAGGTATATAAGGGTGTATATATATATGTATGCATATGCATAGGCACACCCCGCGATGGCTGCCCGGGGAACTTACTTCTCATCCCGTGTTCTTCCCTTGCTGTGGGTGAAGGCCTGGACGATGTGGGAGGTGTGGTCGATGGAGAAGCCTGAACGGGGAGAAGCGTGATGAGAAGAAGCGTGATGAGAAGAAGCGTGATGAGAAGAAGCGTGATGAGAAGAAATGTGATGAGAAGATGTGCGTAAAACTTCACCCCGATGCGAAGACGTGGTAAAACTTGACCTCGCTGACCTTCCACTTACCGACGGAGAGGACCAGGATGACCATCGAGATGATGTTGACGGTGATGCCGCAGAGACACATGAAGCCAAAGATGCAGAGGTCGATGAGGAAAATGATCAGCGCAATGATGACGCAGGAGCTCAGCCCCTTTATAATGTAAGCGGTGACGATGAGAATGGAAGCGATCGTGATGGCAAGGTTGATGAGAGTAACTTCAATGATGACCTCGTCCGTCTCGTTGAAGATAGAGCTGATGTGGAAACACTGCAGCTGGACATTGTGGTCTTCCAATTTGCTGAGCTTCTTGCATGTCTTGAGCCATTTGGAGGAGATCTCTGAATCGTCCACATTGTTCTGGAAATAGAAGTACCTCCAGGCGACTAGCTTTTTGTTCAGGAAGATAAAATCATTTTTAAAGAGATTCCCCACAAAGTCATTCTGTATCCAATCAACAAAGGTGTCGTAGAACTGCTCCGGGGTCTCGTTTTTCAATTTTCTACGATTGCTGTTAAGGAAGTGAGTAAATCCATTTGCCACTCCTGACACGAAATCCAGTTCTTCCAGTTGGTCATTCATTTCGATGAGTTCATTCTGCAGATCTTTCACCTCCCAATGGATGTTTCGATTCAGTTTTGGATTTTTCATCATCTCTCGATCTGTCCTATCCGAGTAGAGAAAAGATGAAGAGACTACGTCCTCCTGATTGTTCAATCGTCTATACTTCTTAACGAAGTCTTTGTCAAAGTAGTACACTTCGATCATGTCTCCATAGTGAGGGAAGTATTTCGTCTTGGCTTCCACGAAGAGTCTAACGTAAGAATCTACTGGAAAGGCCTTATCATATTTAATCCCCTTCTTCATCAACGTGCAGCCATAAATGGAGAGCATAATAATAGCTGAAAAAACGACGTAGACGATGGTTTTTCCCATTCCAGAGGAGAGGAAAGGGACGTAGTAATTTTTCACGAGAGATCGGAAATATTTTCCTATGTTTCCTTTTGGCTCTTCGTAGATGTACTTGTAGAAGAGAGCATTGTCGTGGGAGCTCAGCAGATAAACGTTTTTCTTATCCCTATCGTGCAGATTGTTCAGATGTAGAGTATCCTTCGTCGCCATCTCCATCGAGTTATTATAGTAGTGGTTGTCCCCGTGATCGCCGCCTGCGAGACCCTTCTCGCGATCCTGCAGCAGGTTCTTCCTTTCTCGAGGGAGCCCCATACGTCCACTCGTCCCTGCTCCCATCACACCGCGGTCCACTCCACGATTCACACCGCTACCATCCAAGTCGTTCCCATTTGGAGTGCCACTTTGGCCTGAAAATATGTCACTCGCGATGGTTATCTTTTTTGCTCCTTTATTGTCCGACGCCTCTCCTGCGCCGGTTCCTCCTCTTCCCTCTTCCACTTCAAGTAGGTGTGATCTCATCGGAGCGGATGATGATGATGGTTGCTCCTCTTCTTCCTCCTCCATAGGGATGGTCCCTCGCGCCGCTCCGCCGGAGTACTTAAGCGCCATCTGGTTCTTCCTGCCTTTGCCCGATGGGTCTTGCAGGGCAGCTCCACCTTTCCGTTTCTTCATATCCTTCTTGTCCAAGCACATGTTTTCCAGACTAAGCTGATCGTGCGGAGCAGGAGAGGTCTGCATTCCATTTTCGTTGTTGTATCCTTTGCTGCTGATCTCATTGGAAGAGTAAACCGTGGCATTCTTCTTATTGAAGGATTCTTCAAAAAGGTAGAGGTTGTGGATCCACTCATAAATGGAGATATTTTCATACTCGGGTGGTGTCTTCTTGTAGTCGTCTTCATTTTGGGCCATCTCCAGAGTGAGATTGTTCTGTCCGGGGGGGGAACCACCACAAGAAGAGGCAGCACCAGCGGCAGAAGCAGACGCAGCACCGGACGCAGCCGGTGCATTGGGCAAGGCCGCACCCGAACCGCTGGGAGTAACAGCATTCTTCCCTCTGCCGCTTCTCCCCCTTCCGAAGAAGGAGCAAAAGAGGAGAGTAGTACCGGAGAAGATGTTCCTCTTCTTATTTTCCCACTTGCCCTCGATGCAGAGGAAGCTGAGAAGCAGAGTCAGGACCATCAGGTAGCCAAAGAAGAGTGAACTCGCGGTGAAGAGGGAAAAACTACATATGGAGTAAAAGGGAGAAACAGAGCTAATAAGAAAAGCAATAATATTCGTCACAGTAGTCACTGTGATGGCCAAGGCACTGTCCCTTAGACAAAGCTGAATTCTCTTCTTATTATCTTTAATCATAAAAAGGAGGGAATACGAATTTAGGATAACAAACACGTCATCTACGCCAACCCCAATGACAAGAAAAGGCACTGTTTCCGCTGGAGGGACGGATTTCACTCCGAGGAAGAATAAGAAGCCTGAACCGGCAAGGTATCCCAAGAAACCACACAGAATGCCCATAACAGCACAGAGAGGTTTGCTCCTATACAAAACAGAGGTGACGTTGTTGAATAAGGCATACATAAAGATGAGACACACCCCGATGATAAAGAGCAGTCTGGTCAGATTATCAATCTTGGATATTCGATCCACTTCGTCTTCCAAGCTTCTGTCTGTGAATACATGAAATTTGATATACGGTTCATTCCCATCATTGGTTTCCTCGTCTTGTATCACTTCATCCATGTTATAGAAGCGGACATACTCAATAAGCCTCTTCTCGTAGGCCAATACATATGGCTCATATTTGTAGGAGTTAAAAAGGGGGATTATTGTCATGATGGCATTGGCCGAAGTGATGGTGTAGCTGAATGGATTCTCCTTATATTGCATATTCCCAAGAATAGACTTCAATATCATTTCTTTGAATGTCTTCCTGTTTACGTAAAAGTCTAGATTATCCACTTTGATGGGATTTTCATATTTGGCATTCCCATTCTCATAGTAGAGAAAGATAGAACTTAAGTTACACTCGTTATACTTCTTCTCGCATATGTCTTGCAACGAGAAAGTGATCTGCTTCTTCAACGAATCACTTGCTTCTCTCAGATTTATATTAACATTTTTATCCTTCAATACATTTTGGAGAAGACACCTGTCCTCCTTTAGCAGCATGGGAGGGATATAAAATGGGGGGTAAAAAGTGTCCTCTTTAAAATCAGTGGCATTCACTTTTGACATTTCTTTCTCTTCTACTGTGTTTCCATTTGTCTTTCCTTTGAACATGTCTGTAATTTTTCTGGTCAGCCACTTGATCTTCTTATCGACGAAGTTGTTAACATAGCTTTGAAATCCCTGTACTTGGTTTCCTTCACCGTTGCTAAGTAGGTCTGCATCGATATCGTCATCATGGCGATCACCACTGTTGTCGTCGTCTTCCCAGTTGGGATTGCCCCTACTCGTTTGGTTTTTCCCTTCTTCTGTATCATTCTCGTCATCATTATCATCTTCATCATTATCATCTTCATCATCATCATCTTCATCAGCGTCATCTTCATCATCGGCGTCTTCACCATCGGCGTCTTCACTGCGACTACTTTTTGTGCCCTCCTTTGAGTCCTTCCCTTTTTTCTTGTCCTTCTTGCTCCCTTTCTTCCCTTTACCTTTCCCTTTATCGTCGCTCTTTGACTCCGTCAGTTTGTTTTTCATTCCGATGAGCTTATTCAGGGCAAAATTGAAGTTAAATCGTTTGAAATTTGGTTTCCAATCTAAGTTGGCATTCACATCTTGATTTTTTAGAAGCATATCATATACCTCCTTCGATGCATCCGTGTGCACAGATGGCACCTCGGAGTCTTTACTACACTCATTGATCTCGGAGAGATCAACTTGAATTTCCTTCGTTCCATCCTCGAACTTTTTTAGCTCTTTTAAGATATGGGGCTTCAGCAGATTGCAATTTGACTCCACCATGATAAAGGCCTTCCGACTTTTGTGAAAAAAGTCATTAATCACATCATTCGTTTCACAGGCATACGAATTTGATATGGAGTACAGTTTGTAGATATCTTTTTCATTCTCTCTGTAGCAGAAACCCATACTCAGGAGTAAGCATCCCAGGAGACTCGCCAGAATAATTTTCCATGGTCGATCATACACAAACCCAGCGTAGACATACAGCATGTTTGAGAAGGAATCCTGAGACTTCTGCTTCAGATCCGTCAGCGTTTTCGCGATCTTTGAGAACGCCATTTTGGAGAGGGAGCGGCAGGGGGGAGGTGTAGTGGGAAGAGGCGAGGTACGGGGGGTAAGAGCCCCGTGAGAGCAGACGCCCTAAGTGGCAGAGGCAAGTGTGCCGAATTGGAGTACACGTCCGTGGGATCACACGAACGCCTCCGTGCACATAAATGAGTCTATGTATGTATATATATCTGTGTGTACGTTTTACAGGTGGAGATACTTTCCTACCGGGGGAGAGACGCGCGAACGGGGCTAACGGGGAGAATGAGGCGAATTCAAACTCGGATCACTTGGCCTATGAGTCCCCCCTTGCCCGATGCGCCACACCCGCGTGCTTGCTCACCCTGTACGTCTGTGTAGGCGTGCATACGGCCGTACAAGCGTCGCTACGCAGGTGTGTCGGTGGGCGGAGGGGAAAGAAGTACACACAGAAGAGGCTGTACGATGAAGAACAAATGGAAAGACGAGGGGGGCTGTTACCACTCGCGCGGGTTACACATGCTGGGCGAGGGAGGTCAGACGGAAGGTCAGTGTGTGTGTATGTTTGTGACCTTGTGCCTTTACGTGGGAGGGGGGAGGAAGCACCTCGCTCGGGGATGAACTCACAACAGATTGTCACACGAAAAAGATCAGCAGGGACAGACGAAAGCTATCCCTCAGCGACGTCCTTTCATAACGACGTCACGGCACAGGTGAGACAAAAGCAGAGCTACTCGCGTGGCAAGAGAATCATCTGTCTTGCGGTTGGTAGCGTAGCAAACTGAGGAGTACGAAAAAGGGGCGTGTCTGCGCAGGAGCATCGGAAAGTGGCACACACGGGCGTGTACTTGTGCATACATAAAAGATAGTCGTACTCCTACGCGTGTTGCTATGCCGGTGGGCATGCTACTTGCCACCCCCACTTAGGAAAAACGGAAATTAAAGCAGAGGGGATTCTTCGCGCAAGAGAATTTTACATGAGAACATATGAGGACATTGTATCGATGCACAAATTCGCAACGAGTAGATGGATGTGTCACGCGATCCGCAGAAAATGAGCGGAAGGAGGGAAGTTAAAATGTGAAAGGGGCGGGAAGAGAAATAATATTACAAATGACAACAAAAATGAGATTGCTTCTTCTCTTAACGCCCCTGTGACGAGAGGAAAAAGCCGCTCGCTCGTGCGTGTACATATACATAAAAATGTGCACAAAAAATGGGCATATAAATCATAAGTATAAATGTATACGCCCAGATAAACACTGATGCTCGCGTAATGCGGCGCGCTTCTGAGTAAAACGATGCTTCCTCTCGCGGGGGGAAAAGAAACCTCATCAACGCAGAGAGGCGCAATGGAACGGCTACGTAGCTGCGTAATTGCAAAGCGGCGTAATCGGATAATCGCGCTCGCAGCATATAATACGATACATGTACCATTCGCTTCGCACGTATTCTGGTCGTCACTTATAGGTTAACACTTGCAAGGCGGAAAATGGTGAGAAAAGGAAAAAAAAAAAAGAAAAAGAAAAGGAAGAAAAAGAAGAGGAAGTGAAAGAAGAAGAAAAAGAAAGAGAAGGAATGATTCACCAAATGGGGATTTTTTTTTGTTTTTTCCCTTTTTTTTTTTATCATTTACGTAATTTACATAGTACAATATATCTTATTATGTGAGAAAAGAAAAAAAAAATAAAAACTGCAAAACCAGGGAAGGAAGTTTTAAGGCAAAGATTCCACAGCTAAGTAAACTTTTTTACGCGGTGGATGGGTTTCGCCTGGAGAACGGAATCGACTATAAGTGCACTTGCCACATGTGCGGGGGTAGGGGGGGAGCAAATACATACAAATAGCAGTATATGCGCATGGGCTTGTATGAAGCTGTACAATGAGTACATATGCCGGTAGCAGCTGGTAGTCCGACGCCCCGAGGGTATAAGATGCGACGAGGCGGAAGCAGGAGGGAAAGGGGAGAAAAAAGTACACTTGGATCCAAGGGGACTCCACGCGGGAATAAACCCCCCCCGCATGCAATCAAGGAGGAAAAGCAGGTTGGAAAGAATTCCCGCGCGGAATGGAACTCCTTGGCAAATTGCCTTCCCCCACGTGTCATAAGGACGAAGGAGGGGTAAAGCAACCCGTAACAGAGGTGTAATTTTTAACATACTTCATGTGGCTCAGAAGTCGCTTGTACCTCTGGACGAATGACTTCCAGCCGGGGAGGCATCACCACGGCGCATACATATGTTCATAAGGATAATACGTAGAACCTTCCTAAATCGCTCAGTGTAGGTATTATTACGAGGCGAGAGGGGGAGGGAGAAAAAAAAAAAGTCCCTTACCTAGATTTGTACATATTGTACGTATGCCACACGTATGTTGGTAAAGCGCCCCCCTCTTTGCAGTGGAACATACGTGATATGGCTCGTTAGGAAAGGGCTACACAGTGGCAACTCCCGCGGCTGCACCTTTTTTATGTGTTCTCTCTTGCACTGGTATACTGCAGACCTTTTTTATCGGGTCCTGTTGCTCCCTCCGAAAAGAAAAAAACAAAGAGAGAAACGCCCAGGCGCATGCAGAAAAGTCTATGTGGCATATGTTACATGCACATGCAGAGGAAGATCGTTCTGCGATCCACAAAGTGGACCCCTTATAAAAAAAAACGAGTACAAATTAAGGCAACGTTGAATTGCCCATGCATGTGGAAAAGGAAGAATATAGACGATCATCTATCTTCTTATGCAGAGATGTATGAGGAGACCACCCATTTCAGCTTTGCACCTTTAATTGGAGAGAAAAAAAAAAAAAAAAAAAACAAAAAAACAAAACAGAACAAAAGGCCCACCCCCCTTATCGCGCATTTCGCCCCTGGGATACAGTTACAACTGTGTGTTTACCCCGTTGACCTAGCGAGTTAAGGCTACACTTGTTTTACTTCCCTGCTGTGAAATGCCTAAGTGAGTGAGCTAGACATACCAAAGCGAGGTGATGTTTTTCGCTTCACTCTGAACCTGCTTACTAATCAGTGTATAATATCCACTGCAGAGACAATGCAGCGGTTGCCTCTGTGTGTGGAGAGGCAATGCGATGATGGTCTCCCCCTGCCGTGAATAGCAGCCCGAAGCAGTCGGGGTGATGGCAGGCCGCCTGCAACATTCCCCGCTGGGGGCCATGACCTATTCGCAGATTGTATTATGGCGACTTCTACGGCTGCGACTTTCGCTGTGGCGCCTTTTGTTGCCCCTCCTGCTGTGGCTCCTTCTGCTGCAGCCGCACTGCTGCCTCGACGCGGAGACTAAGCTGGCGAAGCTGAAGAAACTCATAAACAAAAAGATCAAGATTGACATTAATGAGAAGTACCAACGCGAGAAGGAGAGGAAGAGTACCAACCAATACATTTCCTTTCTGTACATTCATGAGCTGACCGCCATCGACTATGTGGAGTATGTATTAAATAAATCAGACGACTACGATTGCGTCTTGTTCGTGATGGACGTGGAGAGTAACAATGGGGTATCTATGTTTGACAGGAAGAATCTCATTCTGTTGGAGATGTTTAACCGCGTGGCGCGGGATTTCATTCTGGGAAGCTTCTCTCTTTACAGCGAGGGGGGAAGCATAGGGTGGAAGGGACACATCCCTTCCTCAACGCCAATCTTCTTCTTCTATATAAACCTTCACAAGCCGACGATTCTCCCCCTCAAATACGTCAACGCAATAGAAGAGGTGCCCGAGTTCTTCTACGTAGGAAAGGAGACCTTTCTCCATTTGGACTACTACTCTAAGGTGCGCCCCAGTTATATGCTAGAGAGTTACTTAAAGATGAAGCGGCTAAGCGGAAGTGACAAAGCAGAGACGAGTAACAAAATGATTGAAGCGTATTTCTCAGATTTTATTCAGACACATAACAGGGGTGGTGCTGCTGGCGGCAGTGGCAGTGCCATTTGCAGTGCTGGTTACGGGGCGATGCCCACCCTTCTGGAAGCTAACTACTTGGGGAAGATACAAAGATACCTCCTAACCATTGCCCTGGCTGTATTGTTCCTCCTTCTGTATTTCCTCCTGCAGCTGATCCAAAGATGGCCCTGCCTCATGTTTGTCTGTTCATACGTCTTGTTCCTGATCTGCCTCAGTGGAATCTTCCACTGTCTGATTAACAAATCTGAGCTTTATAACACAGCGAAGAATCTGGATTCCATTCTGCACAAATATATATACCGTTCTACCAGTGCTCAGTATGTATACGAAGGGGTGGCCTTCTCGTTGTTTATTTTTTTCATCACTTTTGCGTTGCTCCTCTTGTGTCGTCACTCCAGCAACAGGTTTATGACGCGGGGGGGGAGGAACTTGTGGTTGGCGCTGCTCCTCCTCGTCACGTATGCTTCTCTCGACGTCATCCACGAGATGAATCTGTACAAGGTGTACTATTCTACTTACTTCTTCTTCCCTCCGACGAAGTTTTTTCGCAAGTGAGCAGCACACTGCTTCGCTTCCGATATGGGACTCACCTGCAATGTGCCATAATGGAGCGGTGTACCTCCACCCTCCTGTGTGTTTTTTTTTTTGTTTTTCCTTTTTTTTTTTTTTTCTTTTTTTTTCCACGATGTGCGCTGAAACGAACTGTGCACCGTGCATTGGGGTCAACTTCATGACTGTTGTCACCCCGAAGAGGCTTCTTTTAAAAAAAATAAAAAAAACTGGCCACCTTTGTGACAGTTCAGTTTGGATCTAATCCGCCTGGTCTGAAGATCGCTATACAATCGGGTTCCCCTTTCAACTCTGCGGTTCAATACGAAGTGGACGTTTCGCAGGGTTGCGAAGAGGCGGAGGTGATGCTACTCCTTTGTGTGTTCCTGCTCCAACTCCCCAATCTCCAGTTTCCCAAGAGGGGTGATCGTGGTGTGTACTTCCTTTTGTGCGGAACCCACTATGGATCACCCTTTCGGGGGTGCTCCTGCTCGGTCCTCTGTTGGGAGACCCTTTCTCTGCTGTTCGCTGATCCGTTCAATGTGCTCCACCTGAGAAATAGGTGCATGCACGTATGAATAAGCGATGTGCTCCTCCGTGGCGCGTGCTTTTTTTTTTTTTTTTTTTTTTTCCTTTTTACAGTTAGGAAAGCTGCGGAATGGGGGGGGATGGTTTTCGCCTTGTGGTCATCCCCCCATCGAGGCTCCGTTTAGGGGCGCACACGAGTGAGTAGCTATCACCATCCGTTGGCCGCTTCACTCGATGTGTATTTTGACTTCTGCTGAACCTTCACCGCAGCTCAGCACGGATGGCTCATGGAAGAGAGCGGCGAAAGGGACATCTCCTCAAGGCGCCCCCCCTCTTGAGGGGCACCCAGAGGAAGAAGATGCAGCGCGTTGCTCGTCAGCAGGGCACTGAAGAACACCCCGGTGAAGAACACCCCGGTGAAGGACACTCCGGTGAAGGACACCCCACTGACCCACCTCCGAGCGGCAAAGGCAGAAATGGGCGCCAAGCCAAGACGGAAGCCAACCGAACGAAGCTCCTATCCTTGAAGAATCTGTACAGCACGCTACATAGAACGAGCGAGGTGATGCTGAAGGGGGGGGAGAAGCAGTGTGAGAAGGGTGAATATATGACCGGTGCGGACCATCAAGAGGACTCCCATCGAGAGGACATCCATCGAGAGGACTTCCATATGGAGGAGGCCTCTCTTCCCAATGAGAAAGTGGACGTCCCTTCCAGCAGCAGGGGTGCCCAGCAAAAAAGGCGCATCAGGAAAGTAGACGATAGAAAAGCGACCCGGGAGAATGCAAACGATATTAGAAGATATTTTACGCAGGAAAAGCGCCGGAGCAGGTCAGTGAGGGAGGGGTCTAATGGGACGTCTGTCCAGGCGAGTAGCGAGTCCGACGTGGAGGCCCGAAGAAAAACCCGTTCGGGAGAGAAGATCGGCAGGAATGGCCCAACAAGGGGGCGCTCGGAAAAGAGGCGTGCCGAGCAATGTGCCGTGCGATGTGATGTTCAAAGCGACGCGCTCAGTGACCGACCCGTTCGCCCCCCGAGGAGCAGCCACAGCGATCAGTCCATTAATCGTGTCTTGAAAGGGCACTCACGGCAAGGCATCCGAAGAAAAGGCTCAGATGAGCAGGAACCGAGTGGAAGTAACCCTAGAAGCGGCCTCTGGAGAGGGGCCCGCAAAAGGGAGAGTAACAAGGAGAAGACGAAGCAGACCTTGGATGAGAGGAACGAAGAGAAGACGAAGCAACCCCTGCATCAGAGGAATAAAGAGAAAGCGAAGCAGCCCTTCAAGGGGCGCAACCGTAAGGAGGAGGACGAATCGATGTACAGTCTATCCCCACGCTTGAGGAGGCGCAGAAACGGGGGGACCACCAACATGGAAGAGGAAGCCCCTAAGTCGGAGGAAACAATCCAATCAGGTGACACCTCCCCCGTGCGTGAACGCAAAGGAACAAAATATAATAACATAAAAGAGGAAGAAGAAAGTGGAAAATTCAGAAACATGACCCTGGAAGACATAAAAAACCGTCTCAGGAAAAACGAACCAGACACATTAAAGATATTACTGTGCACTGACAACCACTTAGGGTACAAAGAAAACAATGCCGTGCAAAGGAAGGACACATTTAACTCATTTGAAGAAATCCTCTTCCTTGCGAAGCATTTAAATGTCGATATGATTATTAACAGTGGTGACCTCTTTCACAAGAATAAAGTTTCAGAGTATACACTCTTTAAATCGATGGAGATTATTAGGAGGTATTGTCACGTGAGAGGTTACGAGGATAGCGAAGCGGGGGCTGAATCGGTAGAAGCTTCTCCCGCGCGGGGAACACATCCTAGAAGAGCGCTGCTGAAGGAGGTGCACTGCTCCGATTATAAGTGGTACGGGGGGGATGACAACCTCGATCTCGGTGAGGAGAGCAGCCATAGTGGGGGGAGCACCAGAAGTGATAAGCACGGCCACAGTGATAATCGCAGCCGTAGTGAGGGAAGCAGCCACAGTGATAATCGCAGCCGTAGTGAGGGAAGCAGCCACAGTGATAATCGCAGCCGTAGTGGGGAGAGCACCCCCTGCGAGGAACTCCCCCCCCGCGACACATTCCACATGTGCCCCGTGAAGGGGAAAGTCGAAACGGCCATCCCTCTCTTCACCATGCACGGGAATCACGACTACCCCTACAGCTGCGACTACATCAGTCCGTTGGACATACTTCATGTGGGCAACCTCATAAAGTACATCGGGAAAAGCAGCCTCAACCGAATTGTGGTGAAGCCAGTACTGCTAAATAAGGAGGACACCAAAGTCGCCATTTATGCCATTGGATGGATTAAAGACGAGCGTCTACACAGAGCATTTGAAAAGAAGCAAGTGAAGTTTCTTCTCCCAAATGATCATGCCTGTCGCATCAACATCCTTGTGCTGCATCAAAACAGATACATGAGATGTGCACACGGAAATGACCTAAGAAATTTTATTAAAGAATCGTTCATCCCCAATTTTGTAGACTTGGTCATATGGGGACATGAGCATTTTTCGAAGCCCTACTTGGAGGAGAGTTCATTGCAATCTTTTTTCTCCTTGCAGTTGGGTTCGTCTGTACGGACATCTCTGTGTACAAATGAGTACGGGGACAAGTATATCGGGTTGCTCGAAATTAGGAAGGAACGATTTCGATTTTTGAAGATCCAGCTGGAAAGTGTCAGACCCTTCGAACTGAAGGAAATCCGATTAGCCAACTACCACTTAAATTTTAACGATGAGTCTGTTCTGAAGCAGTTTTTACATGAACAGGTCAGCACCATTCTGGACACCTTTCAGTTGAGTTTGCGTGAGCAGGTGAAGCGGTACTACCTCTTCAGGCGCGCCTTCTTAGCGGAAGTCGGGAGGGGCAGAATCGGTAAAGGGAAAGGCGGTAAAGGGAGAAGCGATAAGGGAAGAAGCGATAAGGGAAGAAGCGATAAGGGGAGAAGCGACAAGGGGAGAAACGATAAGGGGATAAGCGGTAAAGCGATAAGCGATAAAAGGCTAAGCGATAACAGGACAGACAATACTGGGATCGCTGATGAGGAGGATCCCCGTTCCCAGCTCTCCGAAGACCAATGCGCCACGCGAGGGCATCCCGCCCTTCCGAGCGAAGTCTTCACCGAAAGGGAACTCCTAGACGAGTACTTCGATTCGCTTATCTCCGATCAGGACGTAACCCACTTCCTGAGCAACCTGCAGAATGAGGAGTTCTACTCCACCACCTTCATCCACGTCGCCTTCTCCACCCCAAGCGACACATTCGATCTGTTAAGAATAAAGAAAGGAGTCTACGACAAGCCACTAATCAAATTGAAGGTCGAGTACGAAGACATTAACATTATAAACACGCAGCTATTCGGCTCGACTTTTGTCAGCCGGGTCGGAAACCCATCCGAGTTTCTCACGTTTTACAGAAAAAAGGGAAAAACAAGCGGAAGCACTAAAGACGGACAAGGCACCAACTGCACGGGGCACACGCTCGGGAGAGTCAACACCATGGGGATGCAACCTACCAACATGGATCAAAAAGATATCCTCATGATGGAAAATATAAATGAATACAATAAGGTGTTTGATATCCTTTTCAATTATTGCCAGCTGAGAGAGGGGCTATCAATCTTAAACGAAAAGACCATCATGGAAACGATACTTAACTTCATGAGTAACTCTAACTCGTCTTTTAATTCTGAGTCGACTGGCACGTCTGACTACTGCAACATCATTTCTATGGTCGATCACTGGGCGCGGAGCAAGGTGAACCTCCTCGAGGGGAGCCTTCGGGACGTCCCTGTGGAGAGCCTAACGGAGGAGTACCTCGCGGAAGTGGTTAAGAACAGTGCGGGGGAGTGACTAAAAGAGGGGTTAACGGGCCATCCAAGTTGTGTGCGGTGAGTCCAAATGGGCCATCCAAGTTATCCGGAGCATGTCCAAATGGGCTGCCCACCGCCCCCTAGGGAACCCGTACGTACAACTCCCCGCGCGGCCCATCGAAGCGATCAATCCGCACGAGGACGTCATTTCCTGGCCGGTACTCGTCCGCGCGCTCCCCCACTCGCAGGAGCAACTTTGCGTGAATTTGGGGCGCCAAGTAAAGCAACACGTGGTTGTCCAAGACATCCAAAATCTTCGCGTTGATTAAACTACGCCCATTGTTAAAGGACGATAAAATTTCCTCGTAGGTGTACTTTTGGATCTGCACTGCGATCTTCTGATGAACCGTTTGAATGTATTTAATTTTCACTCGAATGATGTTGTGTACCTTTAGCAGCGTAAAAACATATTTGTGTAAAATGGGGAAACGGAAATACTCCGACGTATTTAAGTATGCCTTCCTGTCACATAAAATGTCCAGCTTTATATTTTTTTTACTTATGCTGAGTATCCTCCCATAGAAGGAGTCCCCGATGTTGTAAAACCTGAAGGGAGTGCCTCTCTCTTTTATTTGTTTGTAAATTACGTTTCCCTGTGAAGCATTGATTTGGTTCTTGTGGCTGTGGTTGCGGTTATGGCTATGCCTGTCACTTTTGCTTCTCCCCCCAGCGCAAGCGGTGAACTTGGGGGCATTTTCAATGCTGCTTATGAAGGAACTCCTTTTCGCTTCATTCACGCTGACGGAGTAGGCCAAGCTGACTGCGAGGAGGATGGAAAAGGGGGCCCGCATAGCAGGTGGCGGGCTGACAGCGACTTGGAATCAGCTTCCTGCCAGTCTCTTCAATCGGAACAGAGTCACACCGGCTTCCTCGTTCTCATCGGCTGAAAAATCTTCCCATTCTGCGGAAATAGCTTTGTCGCGTAGATAGCTTATTTTTCACCTGAACAAGGGGAAAAGAAGAAAAAAAAAAAAAAACAGTACAGTACAATACAACCCAACATAGGCTCATCCCTCCCATTTCAAACATCATTCGTTTGGCGCTGCACCTCCGAAAGGGGCTCATCCACATTGTGAGGACAATCTACATTGCGCTGGGACATGCATCGGTATGCTTCCCGTGCCATATCTAGTGCTTTCTGAAGAGAGCTATTAAAATGTAATTGGCTGCTCAGTGAGGAAGAAAGAAAAAAGAAAAAAAAAAAACGCATATCGCCTGAACGGTGGAGGCAAAATGGGAAGTAAAAGATCTGCACGTGAGGAGAAGAAGCAAAACGGACGAGGAACGATCCATCATAACTATGCAACACTGAGGGGGACCTTTTCGATTAACAGTCCTCTGTGTAAATAGTTTTAGGGTAGCCACCCACTGGCTCTGTGCACAAATTGGGCGTTACTCACCGCACTGACCAACGTGAGAAAGACCGCTTAACAGATTCCGTCGCGACGAATTCTCCTTAACAGGTAATTCCCATCCCCAGGGTTGTACACGCAAGTAGGTGTTATAGGAAGGGTAATCAACAGAGGGAGGGGGCGGGACAAACAGTTCATCCTTAAATGGGCGTGTCTCAAAAATATGTATGCTATGTGCACTTTACGCACGAGGAGCGAAACACCTCTTGCTATATGTCTCTATGTATTTGCGTGTTTTTTTTTTCTCTCTCCCATCCCATTAGATATAATAATGGAGCGAGGAAGTGCTCCCCCTTTGGAACCTCAACGCGCTATTATAATCCCAATTGGGGTATGTCACAAATGTTCTGAACAGGTCAGGCAAGAAGAAGTGCGACATTTTTAACCCCCGGAATGGTCGTCCCAACCACACAAACGAGACGACCGTTGCGCAAATAAGTGGAACCAGTTCGATGAAGTCCACTACTTCGATCAACACGGTGTGCACATAAAGGAACGTTTAACCTGTTAACCGATTGAAAGGGACCTCCATTTTGGTGCCTCCCCCCATCCCCGTTAAGGTGAAGAAATACCTGTATGCAGTCCGGCGACTGCCCCGACGTAACAACAGCGGCGAAGGGACGAGGCGACAAAGCGACAATTTAATTCGTTTCATTTGTGGTGTTAAAGGGAGACCTAATCTGTCTATTCTGCACGCGCAGCGGGGAGCTCGCACGAGTTGGCGCAAACATCAGCACACGCCATGTCACCCCCGCGTGGTGTTCACCAATCTCATCTTTTTATGGGCTTTCAGGGGAATTACAAAAAAAGGCGCACTTTTTGCGGGCCGTAAAAAAGTGGCGCTTCAGTCCATTCGTGCTTTCAGTTTCTTCTTCATCATCGTATCAGGTGTTCTAAAAAAAAAAAAAAAAAAAAAAAATTCAAAATTAAAAATACGTTCGAAATGAAGTGGACGCAATCCGGCACTGTCGCGGGTAGGACAATGCGAAGTGTTTCTTCTTTTGAGGTTATGGGCCCGCTCGTTTGTCCCTCCTCCCGTAAAATGCACTGCACTTCGGGTAAACATACAGAACGTAAACTTCGGCTCCCCATCCGGATAGGCAGTCCCTGTCCAATGCGCTCAGGAGACACTGGGAGATTGTTTCGAAGAGGCCGTCTTTGTCCTGAGGACAGGGGGAGGAAAGCCGTATGTGTATTCGCGCGTGACGCGTGGTGTAGGTTAGTACTTCACAAATGTAGTACGAGAAGCACGTGCAAACATTACTAAGGGCACATACATACAGGAAGAGACACACTTATGCAGACATGGCGAGACGCACTTCTTCCCAAATGGCGACACCCACTTCTCTGCCCATATGGAGAGACGCACCTGGTCCTTTATGTAGAGCGACTCGCACATCCCGTAGAGCTGCTCGCTGGTGACCCCGTTTACGACGAAATCTTTCGTCTCGCACTTGGCGCCAATCAAGTCGTACGCAGTGAGGTAGGGCTCAAACGTACAGATCTTATTCCCCTTATCGTCCATGGTGTGCTTAACTCGAAATCCGACCACAATGGGGTTCACGAAGTAGGGAGAGAATCGATTGGAATACAAAATGCTAGACAACATATTTGCGAAGCAATCTATGTCCATCGGGGTCTCTTGTCTAATCTCGTAGAGGTTCACTCGGTACCTTAGCAACTCATACAATGTCTGAATGTCTGTTGCCAGTCCGCTGAGACCCACGTAGACATAATCATTCATTTTAAATATCTTCGTGAAATTGGTGCTGATTGTGGTGAAGTTGTTTGCTCCCAGCCTCAGGTCGCAGGCGATGGCCACACACTGCGCGCCGCTCATTCCGAGGACGCATCCCCCGTTGTAATTGAAGATGGAGCCCTGCAAAGAGGCGGTGTAGGAAAGTGGCGTAAAAATACCGTGGTAAGGAGCATAGGCGATGGCGGAAGGGGTGGTAGGGGGCCTCCCCAGAAGAAGGTGCCTCTTCACGCACAAGGCATCAGCGCATGGAAGAGGCAGGTCCAATTAATCACGGTATGCTATTCTGTTCTTTCTCCCTTTTTGACGATCCCGGGGGCTTACCATTTTGGAGGATTCCTGGGTAATGTGTGCCGGGTTGCTCTCTGGTGAGCTCTACTTCGTTATAATTCACGTGGTGTTCCCTACTTCGGTATGCTTCGGTTCACGGGAGAATCTTTTTTCCCGTTCGTTGGATACTATTGGGGATGTACTGGGTAAGGCGAAGCAGTGATAACGACTTCTGCTCTCCTCAGAAGTATCGTCGGAGGTTGTACTCCACCTCTGATGGGACAACAAAAAGTGAGGAGCGGTGACACACAAGATCGAGGTGTAAAGAGGTCCCTCTTGTTAGGATATTAAAAAGAGCTTCCTACGATTACAACGTGTATTGGCGTGGAGTATTTCCTATGAACAGTTCGCTCTTGATCGATCGCTTGCTCAGTATCTCTGTGCTTCCTATTGCGCAGTGGGAGAGGGAGGAAGCCTCTTCGCATTTAACACCTTAGGCTTGCTTCGTCGCACGTACTGATTAGTTTCGCTATTTTTTTGTATAAGTTGGTGAGGCATTGGTGATTTTGCTTCGCCAAGTTGACAGTTCAGTAGCCCTCTAGATTGGTATTACTGCTCATGGTTTGCTAACGGGTGGAGTTTTTCCTCTGCTTCTTCATTTTCTTTTTTTTCTTCTTTTTTTGTTTCTTTTTTTTTTCTTTTTTTTTCTTTTATTTTCTTTTTCTCGCCCCCGGCTTCGCTGAACCTATTGCCCTGCAGGCACGTCCGCTTCGCGAGCACACTCCGGTGGAAGCAACCGTTCTTTGTTCCGCTATTGCAATTTTTTTTTATGTTTTTTTTTTATTTGTGTTTTATATTATTTTCACCACAGCGTGGTTTACCCTTTGGACGACTGTGCTGACCATCCTGTGGTAGAGCAGCCACTGTGTTATCATCTCCTCCTGGCGAATGTTTCTCCCATTCTCTTTTTTTTTGGAAGTGCAGAAGGCGCAGATGCACAGCTCGTGCGTGTATGCCTGTGCTTGGTTGAGCCCCTCGGAAGGGGAACTCCTTTTTTTTGGTGAGTCTGCACTGCGCTGTCAGAAGGAAATATGATTTATTGATTAATCGATTGATTGGTCGAGCTGGCAAAATGAGGCATTTTGTGCTGAGGTGCCCGACATCGCTGAACTTGTTGGCGCGTTCAGGAGGACCAGCAGCATGGTGCCGATCGGGTGGGACGATCGCGTCCGGAGCAGACTTGTGTCGGGAGGGGCAGGGCTTCCCCCGGTTGAGGCACCTCCATGGAATACACACCGAGGCCATAAAGGAGGCGTACCCCGCGGAAGAGGAAGGAGTGGAAGACCCACTGATGGCCCAAAATAGTGAAATGATAATTCAGCGGTATAGGAAGTTTATAGAGGAGAGGCGGGGGGAGGGGAACGGCCCTGTGGGTTCTTCCTCCAGACGGGAGATGTACGACCCGCTGGGGTTCCCCTCCGAAGTTTGGCCGGAATTTGGGCCCGAAGGTGGACCAGAACTTCGACCCGAAGCTGGTGTCGAAACTGCCGCCAAAACCGCCGCTCAAAATGCCGCCAAAACCGCCGCTCAAAATGCCGCCAAAACCGCCGCTCAAAATGCCGCCAAAACCGCCGCTCAAAATGCCGCCAAAATCGCCGCTCAAGATGCCGCCCAACCCGCCGCGAACCCGACGGACCAAAAGTACGTCATCCTGAAGAAGCAGATCTCGAAGGAATTCATTCACCAGGTGTTCCTCCCCCACGTGGAGTCGCAAATTATGTACCATTTGAAGACCTACACGCCGAACCAAATCGTAAACATCTTTAAGATTTATTCCTACCTCTACTACTACGACAAGAAGAAGGAGATGGTCTCCGCTCTTCTGGATTATCTTGAGTACCGACTGGACTGCTTCAGTGTGCAAGACGTCCTCCTAGTGCTAGAGCCCCTGTACCTCCTGAATCGAACGAATAACTTTAATATTTACCGTCTAATTATTAATCACCTGCACAGGGTCAGGGAGAAAATGAACCTCTACAATTACATTGGTGTGTCCAGAGTGTTCACGAAGATACTTATCGATTTGACTTTTGAGGAGAAAGAGATGAGGGGGAAAAATATTTTGTCACGCTTGTTTTACCATTTGAAGCAGAGGAAATACAGGAAGGGCATTCCTCCGGAGCAAAGGAGGATTTCTCACTGGGACTTCCTCGTTCGTTTCATGGCCGATGTGGTTGAGCACGTGGAGGGGCAGCTGCGATTGCTGTCCGCCATCGAGCTCACCGACCTGCTCAGCGTTATGGCGAACTACTCCTTCAGCAGTGGGTACAGCAGGTACGAAGTGGCCCTGTTGGGGCAGGAGAGCGGGATGGATACCCCCCAGTGTGGGTCCCCCCCGAGTGGGCGGTCTACCCAACACGGAAGTGAGGCTTGTAGGCACCCCCCCCTGAACGTACACACCCTGAGCAGCCAAAACTCCTACCTCTTCAAGGAGAATATCGTCTCTTTTCTAATCACGCGGGAAGTTAAGTCCAAATATCAGGACCTCAGCACGCTCCACCGAATAACTAACTTCCACAATTTGACGAAATTGTTCATATACGACGAGGAGTACCTCCAGATGATTGAAGAAGACCTGAGAAACTACCACTACATAAGCAACATTCACCACAGGTATCTGTCCCTTCTAGTGTGGTGCTTATTCAAGTATAGGAGGTTGGAGAAGCACATAGCTCAGCTGAAACCAGTCATCTTACACAACATACACCATTTCAATGCGAAGGATCTTTCCAGACTGTGTCATGCCATTCGCGATGATAATCAAACCCTCATCAACATAGCGAACAATTTAGTTAGCCAAATTGAGACCATGTCTGTGAACGATTTTTTGTGTTACTTTTATGTCGTTGTTTGTCTTGATTTGTTGCCCTATGGTGGGGGGTCAGGGTCAGCCAGGCGGGGTCAGCAGGGGGAGGGAGAACATCCATCCAAGGAGCAGAGCGACTCAGGAGAAAGGAGAGACAACTTAGGACAAAGAAGAGACACCCCTGTCGATACGGACAGCCACACCCTGTCCCTCTTTAACAAAAGTACCATTCTACAGAAATGCACCAAATACATCAACGAGAATAAAAAAAATTTGGGAAAAAACGAAATGACCAAAATTGTTTTGTTGCTAAAGAGGAAGAAAGGAGGCCAATATCTGTACGTTCTGGACTTGCTCCCTGAGGAGTGGAAGGGGATCCTCCATCTGGTTAACTGAGCAGGGGTATGTGGTGGAAGGTGTCGAAACCAAACCGAAGAGGTGATTATTCACAAGGTGAAAGCAAACACACGGATTTTCCTCCTCGAGTTTGCCTCTCCATCGGATGAGCCTCGGCATGTAACCCCAAATGGATCCTCCTCGTGAGCACCACGCCAGCATAGCAAAGTAATGTTCGCCCTCTTTTTTTTTGTTTAACCTATACGTGGAACAACTTTTGTATGCTTGTGTTTGTCGGATCAGCCTATACTGGATAAGCGTTAAAAAGAGTTGTAGAGGCTCCAGGGGGAAGGGCTGTGTGTATGATGGACCATGTCTCTATGTGTGCCACTCAGCGATGAGCCATTTGGCCTTGTCCTTTTCTTTTTTTTTTTTTTTAACTTCCCAGCCGGCGTGCATTCCATCGAGTAAGTCCTCCCTCCCCCCGATAGACGTCTCGCGGGCAGTTCTCCATAAAAAGCAGTTCCCCATCTAGGAGACGCTTCATCCTAATGGCTGATTATATTTTTGAAATTTCATCTGAATAGTGCATCACTTGTTCAGGTAAGAATTGAGAAAGAAAAAAAAAAGAGCTGAGAACAGACCAGCAGGTTAGTCAACTTAATGGTAAGCAGACTGCCTTATCCGGAAATGCAACAGTCCTGCCGTCACACAGAAGTAGGCCTTCTTTGTTTGTTTCTGTTCTTTTTGTGGCTAATCCCCGCGGAGCAGATGAGCCACCCCTCACAGATTAGTAAATGTGAGCGAACAAATGTGCGAATGCAAAAGAGATGAAATATGCAACGGGGGGAGGACGACCAGAAATATACACCAGTTGTGAAGCCATTTCATGCCAGAGGACGGATGGCGAAATGGGGAATTGGCTCGACCTCCCACGAGAGGGAAGCCGGCGGCCCTTTAAATCTGTCCATTTGGCTATGGTCGCTCTGTTACGTGGAAGGAATGTACTGGGTGGGGCAACCGTAGCCAACTAGACTGATTTAAAAGGCCGCCCGCTGGCACATGGTTAAGCAAGAAGGTACCTGTCTCCCCCGCATTTACAACCTCGTCGCTCAGCATGGGGAGGCGAAGTCATCCGGATCGCAACGTCATCATAGCGCTTGGCAAATTTTCCCAAATGAACTGTTTTTTTTTCAAGCCGCAATTGCTGGCAAATGCATGTATCATACCGCTTTGATGGGATGTCTTCATTTGGCGACCTCTATAAGTAAACGAGGGGGAGTTCTCCCCCCCTATAATACTCCCTCCTTCTGGGCATACCACGGCAGTTAATTAGCTGCCTTTTAGTTTCATTAGCTCGGAGATGTAGCGGAACAGAAACGTTTGAGCATACTCATGTTGCATAAGGGTACATCGGTATAGTGCATGATCAGTGTATTGGAAGGAACGTGTTTGTTCTTCCTAGGCGGGGCAACCAGGAAGGATTCTTTTTTTTTCTTCTTCTTCTTCTCCCTCTGAGGGGGCCCATTCGGATGGACTCTTAAATTGCCTGTACATGTTGAGGCAAAAAGGGGGTACCGCGCGGAACTGTACCGTTCTGACCGCCTATACAAACGGGTACAGCAGAGCAGTGGACGTATCGTATCGTGGAGATAACTTTTCCATGCCATTTCTCCTTTCGCCTTTTTTTCCTTTTGGTCCTTAAAGCGAATCAACTCCTTTTCTTTGTTAATTAAATGCAAGTGGAAAATGAGCATAAGTTAAAGGAGAACACTTTCTCTGTCCCCCTTCCCCCTGTCGTCCTGGTCCCACGTCAAGACGTAATATGCACGTTCACGAATTGATTTCGTTTCTGTGCTGGCAAAAAGGGGACACGCGGCGCACTTAATGTCGCGTATACTGCCACGTCTATGTTGTCGCGTATTATACTGTCACGTATATTCGCATGTTATACTGTCACGTATACGGGGGGTACATTTACTCTCACATGGTGACTTCCTCGCTGGCCGCGCCGCTCCCTACGCATATGCGGGGCGGGTACTGATTATAATATATATTTCCGCGCGAAGAGGGAATGTTTGAATTGGCAGCTGCAGGAAAAAGAAGTTTTGTTTTCGGCATTTCCAATGCGCTATGCGATTTGGAAGATATCACCACTTCGACTTTTTCATTCGATCGTTTCTGTCACCGATTGTTTCCTGGACCGATCATTTTCTTGACCGATCACGTTCTTGACTGATCATTTTCTTGACCGATCACTTTCTTGACCGATCATTTTCTTGACCGATCACTTTCTTGACCTATCGCTTTTTTCACATCTTCTCCATTTTTGCAACTTACCGTTTTTTCAATTTGGCCATTTTCGCCACCGACCGTTTTTACCTCTCTGCTGAGTCCCCAACTTGGGAGTCCCCAGTTGGCAGGCATCACCAACTCATTTAGCAGTTCAGATTGCATTTTTGCAGCATATTACATTTCTGCTGCATCGTACGTTTTTGTAGTTCACTTTTGTGCATTACTGCCTTTGCATCCTTCCCCATCTTGCGTGTTTCCCTGCCCATTTTGCGCTTTTTCCCCCCCATTGCGCCTTCTTCCCCCCCATTGCGCCTTCTTCCCCCCATTGCGACTTTTTTCCCCTGTACATGCCCCTTTTCAACGCGTACCCCTCGGCACGTGCGCGCGCAGTTCTCAGTTTCCGCCCCCTATCAGGGAGCGCGTCACGTGCACGAGGAAACAGACCATTGCATGCATATACTTATGTAGGTATGAACGTGTGGTACCTGTACGTGTAAGCGAAGCGGAGGTCACCCCGCCGGCGCAGCGACCCAATTTTGTGTTACACTGCTGAATGGACAGCTACGTTTGGACTTTCATTTGGACGGAAGGCAAAAGTGGAAGCCATACATTCTTGTAACGAAGGAATATTCACCCTCCTCCTGTTTTCATCCGTCTCTTTATCCTCAGAGGGTTAATCCTCCCTGTGTCCATCCGCGTCTTACATATCACTATGACCACCCCACCCCACTCCCTCTCAATGCATCTTCTCACCTCACATCTCGACTTCTTTGCGGCGAAGCTCGTCATCCTCTGTTGTGTATAGCCGTGTAGTACAGCCGCGCTTGATCGACCTCTTTGAGCAAGTGATCGTGTGAACGGATGTTCTGACGGGAGAGCCTCCCCCCCGCTTTTCCCAGAAAGAGCTAACCGCGGAAGGAAGTACGTCCATACGGCCATCTTGTCATACGCCCATCTCGCCATACGCTCATCCCTTCATACCTCCTCCCCATTTCTGCGTGTTTCCCTCTGTGAGCGTCCTCTCTGCTTCCCGCCGCGGGAGCCCCATTTTTGATTTGCCGTTTCCACTCTGAGGACATTCCCCCGCGAGTGTGGCGCGAATGTATGTACATGCGCTGCTCCCGTGCGGAAGTGCGTACTTGTGAGGCCCTCCGCGTGAACGAGTGTACGTGTTTGCACGCCTGTTTGTACGTCCGTCTGTACGTCCACTTATACGCCCGCTTATACGCCCGCTTATACGCCCGGTTATACGCCTGCATGCTTACCCCTATCAGTACGTGAGGAAGAAGCCAGTTTTTGCCCCCGAGGCCGCACGCGAGTTCACGAAGGTGCGCGCGCCCGTGTCATGTATTTTTTTTCTGAGTACTCTCAATTATTTCCGTCCCTTCGCTCATGCGTATGGGCCTCACCCTGTACTATTGCATTAGTGTATTGCTGCATTACTGTATTACTGTTTTTTTTTTCTTCTTTTTCCTTCCTTATTGCATATATCCCCTCACATCCACTGCATGCTTACCAAAGCGCACATATGAATACATTCTCACACTCGTGATGACACGCGCCATGCACGAATCATGTTAATCCGATTAACATCAAATGAGAGAAGCCGCATGGATGTGTTTCGAAGTTTGTCAAATTAACCGAACGGAACTGAATTTTTTTTTCCCCCCAACATATCCTGCCTCCCCCCCCTGTGCGTGTCTGCTACATGTGCAGCGAGGAGGAACTCATCACAGTTAGGAAGACAACGCGGCAGGTAGCGCGTCGTATACGGGCATCTTTTACGTAGTGGGGACGGAGCCCGCCGAAGGAGGAGAAGAGGAAGAAGAACAGGAAGAAGAAGGCGAAGCAGAGGCAGGTGGTCGAAGTGGAAGGCAGAGTGGAGGTTGATCGTCCGGGGGGAGCTCTCGCTCAGGAGGGTGAAGGGAGGTAGAAGTAGTACGGCGTGGAGGAACACTCCGTGGAGAGGCACCCCGTGGAGTGCTAGCCGGTGTAGTGCTAGCCGGTGTAGTGCTAGC